TTACTAACAACCAAACAATGCTATCTATTATATTATTAAAGGAATAGAAAAAAAAGCCTCCACATTTGCTCTCATGGCCTAAAAATTCTCACATTAATCAGAGAAAAAGAAAAAACAGAGTCCATATAGAAATACAATTTAAAAATAGCTGAAATTCGGAATTAAAAAATAAGAAATATTAGAAGAGGAGACTAGAGTCCATATAGATATACAATTTAGAAATAGTTGAAATTCGGAATTAAAAAATAAGGAATATTAGAAGAGGAGAGTAGAATCCATATAGAAATACAATTAGAAAATAACTGAAATTTGGAATTAAAAATAAGGAATATTAGAAGTAGAGTATAGAGTCCATATATAAATACAATTAGGAAATAACTGAAATTCGGAATTAAATAAGGAATATTAGAAGTAGAGTATAGAGTCCATATAGATATACAATTAGAAAATAACAGCAATTTGAAATTAAAATAATAAATATTAGAAGTAGAGTATAGAGTCCATATAAAAATACAATTAGGAAATGACTGAAATTTGGAATTAAAATAAGGAATATTAGAAGTAGAGTATATAGACCATATAGAAATGCAATTAAGAAAAAAAATAGAAATTTGGAATTAAAAATAAGGAATATTAGAAGTAGAGTATAGAGTCCATATAGGAATTTAAAACTAACTAAAATTTGGAATAAATATAATAAAATTAAAAAGTAGAGTTTAGAGTCCGTATAAAAATACAATTTACAAATAACTAAAATTCAAAATTAAGAAAAACATGGGAAGAAGAGTTTAAAGTCGATGAAGGAACACAATTTAGAAGTAACTGAAATTCGAAATTAAAAATTAAAGAATATTGAAAGATGAGTTTAGAGTCCACATAGAAATATAATTAGAAATAATAAAAATTCAGAAATAAAAATAAATAATATTGAAACAAGAGCATAGAGTCTATATAGAAATACAATTTACAGAAAATTAACTAAAATTTGATATTAAAAATAATTAATAACTAACACGTATATAAAATACAATATGAATATTACACATTAGTAGTTTTGTAAAGTTATTGCAAAATTTAGAATTATGTTGTCATTTTAATATATTTGAATAATATAATGAGAAAACATATATGCTATTATATAAGAGAAAATATAATAATGCTAGCCGCGTAATCTGTATGGGCTACCATGCTAGTTTTTCATTATTAAAAAGAACAACCCTATTTTCACCATAAGACTAGCCATGCCACAACTTTAGCACACGCCTAAACTGTGGCGTGGGAAGTTAAGTTGATCGACCAAGCTTTCTTGTTTCACAAACGACCAGCTCTTCGGCCACCGCGGCATCATCTTCATGAAGTTCTTGCTTCCGGAGACTGCTGCTGCTGCCTCGAACTCTTCGGCCTCCGCCGGCATCGTCTCCACGATATCAGCGGCGCCTACATTGTTTCTGAGTTTCTTCAGGAGCTTGTTGGTGTCCACACCCTCACCGATCACCATCAGCAGGTTCCTGTTGCCGCCACACAGCGTCACCGATTGCACGCCTGCATCAAAACGCTACCTCTCGAATCAACGGAATGATGTTCGCGAAGAAAAACGGAAGAACAACTACAATTTCAGACTAGCATATATATTGTGAAGGTATGTGCGTACCGGTGACACTAGCCGCCTTTTTCATCGCCTTTTTCATCGTCTTCTTCATACATTTCTCTTTTTCATCATGTATCTGGATGATGATCTGAATTTTTTTCCCACAAGTTCCATAAAATTCACAAGATTTTAATGATTCTATATTAAAAAGGGGCAATTGTGTTCTTACCCCTACTTTCATATACAATTATAATTTTACTCTTGTTTTTCAGGGTTTGTGATTTTACCTCTACTTTTTCGAAACGAAGCTTCCGTTTACCCTTGCTTTGGATGGACGTTTGGTGGCCCTAAAATAAGAGAGTAAAAAAATAGATTAAATTACTGAAAAAAGTGTGGATGGACCATTATACCCTTGAACCAAATAACAACAGCGAGGCCTCTGTTTTTCTTTTCTTTTTTTTTCTTTTTCCGGTCTCAGTACTGTAGTACTATTTGCCAGGAATTTGCACGATGATTTTTTTTCCCGGTGCATGACTGTATTGATGAATAATTTTGGTGAATTTTTTCCATCCAGTGAATCCTATTAACTTCTGTTCTTGATGTAAAAAAAAAAGAGTAAAATTGCAAAGTTCTCAGTAGAGCATGGGGCAATTTTGCAAGGGCATACATGTCATTTTTGACAAATTTAACACCGTTTGGATGACTTAACATAACAGGGGTAAACCATAGCTTCATTTCAAATAAACAGGGGTAAAATCACAAACCCTAAAAAACAGGGATAAAATCACAATTGCACATGAGAGTAGGGGTAATAACACAATTGACCCTATTAAAAAACAATTCTGAAAAATAGCTCATAAACACAATCCATGGTAAACACGCTTTGAGAATATATTTTGAAATGCTACAAACTGTAAAGAATCAGACAGTTGCAACAGCTATCTCCATCCGAGATTTGCTCTGGTCCAGCAAAATGTATGTTGAAGTACTGGTACCTCACGGTACTAAATCGTTTCCGATGTGCATTGTTACATCCAACGAGATATTTTTTCTTGGATCGAGCAAATCTCATCTGCATTGTCCGAGCACAAATATATTCTGGCCGATACGCCCTAGGTGAGCATAGCAGCGGTAAGATACCGATACTTCCTCTCTTAATGAATAATTGATATTTAGAAAAGTGAAACTTTCAAAACTTTGACCATCAATTTTACATTAAAATAAATCTGTAAATTCTAATATATATAGGTTTATAATATTCTGATAGTGTTCACCAAAGCAAATCTACGCATGCCTCTTTTCAACTAAGCATTTGAAAAAAATATTTGTCATTAAAGTTTGAAGAGTTTCAACAAATGTTCTCCTAAATAGTACTCCCTCCATTTCATATTATAATAACACCTCTTTGTTTAGGCTTATATAAACTGATTTATAAGCTAAGAAGTTTAAGCATAAACAAATAAGCAACATTTTTATTTAGCTTTTTTAAAGCCAAGCCACTCTTACCTTGTTAAAGAAAAGACTATGTTGGAGTAACTAGCTAACTATAATTTCAGACTTAACCCTTAAAATAAAAAATTGTTTGCAAATAAAGTTACAAACAGTATCAAGGAAGTGCATTTTGTGACTTGCCATCAACGAACGGTTGTGAATCACCGATGAAGGACTCTAGGTCCTCCAATTCAATGGTTTCAAAACATAACACACAAAACGAGAAAAAAGCATAAGGAAAACCAAATAAATAGTACATAAAATGCATATAAATATGTTCTTTGTATTTCAGATAAATGGGGTATAGAGACTTTTTCTTTAAAAATATATATTTGGCTAATGCGCATTGGACCGTGCATATGTGCTGCGATCCAGGCACGAGAAGAGAGATAAAAAATAATTACGACAAATTCATTGCAACCCCAAGGTAAAATAGTTTCCATAAAAAAATTTTACACCCTATCACATTGAACGTTTGGACACATGTATGGAGTATTAAACATAGATAAAAAAACTAATTACATAATTTGCGTGTAAATTGCGAGAGGAATTTTTTAAACCTAATTAGTCCATAATTTAACAATGTGGCGCTGCTAATAATAGATTAATTAGGCTTAATAAATTCATCTCGTAGTTTACATGCGGAATATATAATTTGTTTTGTTATTAGTCTATCTTTAATACTTTAAATGTGTGTATGTATATCCGATGTGACACGCCAAAATTTTACACCACTGGATTTAAACACCCCTAAGTAATTTTGTTATTTCTTTTCTTGTGCACCTTCCTAACCTCTTAAGAGGGAATGCAGTTATGCAGATGCCTATAGGTCTGGGCCATAAATAGCTATCCGCTAACGCACCTAGTGGATCGCGCTAGTCGTTTTCTCTAAATTATTTTAATTTAAAAGATTCTTATGTAAATTTCTAAATTTCGCTCTACATTTGTTGTATGCACTAATTTTCTAAAATGTTTTTTACAGGAAAAAGTGAGGGAGATCCCACGGTATTTTTTTTTCTTCGATTAAGCCAAAATTTTGCTCCCTTGGGAGCCAAACCCAGGACTAGAGGTGCTACATAGCACTGTAACCGCTATGCTACAGCCCCTTTTGTAATTTTCTAAAATGTTGTGATGTGTGTCACTACATATCATGTCTAACTATATCCTAAGGATATTACTATTGTCCCCCTCCAGGCTGATAATTAATACTTATCATAACTGATGTCAAACTTTAAAATCTTTGACTGTGAATAATTTATAAAATATTTGTCCTACAAATATGGAGACCACATATATATAGCTTAGTCTTAAAAAATACTGCAATAAAATCATAGGTCTTTATTTGCTCTCCAATTGCTGCTATTATTAGAGCCCCAACCGTTTCACCAACAATTATGGCACATTCAACTTTAAATATACCTTCATGCATGTAAGAGCAATTGTAAAGTCTATCCGTGATTTGTATTCTCTCCATTACGTTGCCGTTTCTTTCCATTAATATTCTTCTTAAATTATTTGTGACATTTAAACATGTATTTACTTCACCTCAAGCACACCGTATGAACTCAAGCTAGTTGTTAGATTCTATATTTTGCCTTCTATTCTCAGTTATCTTCACAACCATGCATGCATCCCTGAGAATAGATTGTTTGTATTGGCCAGCTTCGGTTGATTTCCTTTTGTCTCCGACCATTTTTACTGTAGATGAGTGAGGTCCATGCTGTGGCCAGCCAGCCTAAGTTTCCCCGTTAGGGCTTGTTCGGTTGGGCCGTTCCCGGCTGGGATCGGGGTCTAATCCCCGTGGAAAATCCCGGCGTGGAAAGGATACCAGCCCATGCAAGTATAGGCGTTCGGTTAAGTCCAGGCGAGATTTTATCCCGGCCCACCCCAGTGTTTTCCCCTCGTCATCGGCCGGGAAATATTCAGCTTCTCTGGTGGCGAGGAAAAAATCCTCTCGACGCAGCGACGCAATGAGAGGGGGCGCTGCGGCGGGGACGGCTGCACGGCGCGGCGCGACTACGACGTGACGGCAACGGCACGCTCTCTCCTCCGGTGGCCACCTTCTCCCCGGTGAGTTCATTCCCTTCCCATCTCCCCTAGCCTCCTCTTCCAGTGTTAGGGTTTCTTGCGCTCGTGACCTCGTGCTATTGCGGCGGCAAGGAGAAGCAGGAGGGCATGGATCTGTTCTTTGTTCCTCACAAGGTTTCTTGATTTATTCTTCTTTCTCCCTTGATTTGTTCTGAGTAATATTCCTAACATAGTCTGAAGCTCTGATCATGTCCTTCCTGGATCTGATCCTCTGTTTGTAGTGCCCTAGTGAGAATATGCTGATTCTCCTGGTAGTTGAGTAGTTGAAAGACCACGTTTTCTGATTCTCAATGTGAGTTGTTTTAAATTTGTACATAAAGGTTATGAAAATGGTTTATTCTTAAAATTAGTTGGCAGGTAATAGTAATGCCACAAAAACATGCAGTGCGTAATAATATTGAGGCATCAGAAGTGAATGCTGTTCATTTTTCAGAAATACTAGACAAATGTTGTTCATCAGAAGTGATTCCAACAAGTTGTCTGCTCTTGTAATCTCACCCATACTTGACAGTGCCCATAATACAAGTAGATCAATGAGCCATTCCACATGCCATATTTTCTGAACAAAGTACAAAGTTCAAATTGAAGTAGTAAGAAAAATGAGTCATGTGCAGCTTTAGTTCAGGCCTGTAAAAAGCTCTTGGCAGTCGGCAGAATACAACTTAAATCTGAACTATTTTGGTACATGGTTCAAATGGTCTAAAAAATAATTTCCTAGGTTGGTCCATTTTTAGTAGATCTTGTAGAACCATGTAATGAAGAAATTCTGGATGTAAAACATGATTTTTGCAGCTATTGCTTGCTTAATCTGCAGACTACTGATTTTTGCTTCTACTATAGCTACTATTGAATTCAGTTTTTTGCTTGCTCAATCTTATATGTGTCCTAATTTCATTTTGATATCTGAAGCACTGCTAGCATTAGTCTCATATGCATATCCATGTTTCTAGCACTGCTAGCTATTGGGCAAAGCACACAATACAGCTTACAAACAATCACTTGTCAAACTGAAAACTTGGTAAAAATGTTGCCAAGGATCAATAGTTGGCTGGTTTCAGGAAATTTGAGACAATTGCTCACTGCGCAAAAGCATTGCCTAAATTATTGCATTTTACAACTGAAAACTGAAGGAAACTTCTTTCTTCTCTACAGGCTTTTGGAGGAAGTCTGAGAGGATGGTGGTTCAGATACAGAGTGAATGAGCAAACATGTACAAGATGATGGCTTTTTGCAGGAGCAACAAATGTTGATCTCTGAACCATTGTATATTGCTGATGTAACCATTTGGTCTGGGAGTCCTGGTGTGGCAGCTCACATTTATTTTTATAGCTCAAGTGAATCATGACATAGTTTCATCTTTTTCTTTTTTTATTGTCAAATTTCACTACTATGACTGTATTTAGTTGTCTCTGTATTGTCAAGTGACCTCAAGCTTTGTTGGGTGATGCCTCCTTGCCTTAAACCGGATACAGGCCTTGATGATACTGCAATATTTTTGTTTTAATGATTAATCAATGTGATTTTCGCGTAATTGATGAGGTTACTGCAATATTTTTTTACTGAAGTGAATTTCATCATGTTGCACTTTTCACTTATACAAAAATATCGGTTTGCAATATTTTTTTGCTATTCTAAGCTGCCAACCTGAAAATCAATTTTGCTATTCTAAACTCAATGGACAGCGTGCAACGTTGAAGCAGGAAAGCACCAGTACTCCTTCTGTTGTTGCTGTTGCCTATTGCTGCCTTGACACGGGATTTAAGCAGGCGCACAAAGCCAAAACCGAACAAACGTTTTGAAGACAGGGATTAGGAAAATCAAGGGAATTCATCCCACAGGGATTAAGTGACATGGGAGGGATCCACTCAATCCCTCCCTAGATAGGTTCCCCTTGGGGGTTTAATCCCAAGGAACCGAACATAGCCTTAGGGATGCCATTAACAGGTCAGCTGGCTTTGGAGAAAAATTATTTTCTGTGCAATGGAATTATTCATGTTTCGTCGATTGTTCTGTAGGAAATTATACGGATGAATGATAATTGCAAGACGGTTGAAGGAGCCAACCATTTCAGCCTCAAAATCCCATCCATCAACAAGAGCAATTTTAGCACTTACTCATCTACATTAGTCTTTAATTAATTTTATGTTTAATGGAATAGTTTAAATTTGTTATCATAGTATATATTTCTCCGGGAATTGGGATGCATGGCACCCATAACTATATATACACACTTTCATGGTTTTCATATGATGCTTATGTTATTATATTTTATTTTTTGCGACCATATGCATAGTGCATTTTGCACTTGATGTTTGTCTGTTTATGTGGGTTTGTTGTTTCTCTTAAAAGATTCTTTAGTTGACACCATTTACTGATTTTGATACATAGAAAATTGAAAAGCTAACACCCTAAATCATAATTCAGATGTTTAACTACAAATTGGGTTTTGCTTTAATTTGTTCTTTTCTATAGCGGAATTTTTTTTAAAGTCCTTTTCATATGAATGCAGCTATCCCGCAACAACGTGCGGGGTACCGTATAGTATTTTAGTATACACAATACCACTAGGAGCGCCCTAAATGTTTCTGTGATAGGACACGTCTTGAGTTTTTTTATAGAACGAGAGACTTACCGAGTATATGGGAGATAGTTTATCCTTGCAAATATACCCCACTTTATATATCATTTAAATAGTCATAAAAACATTTGATTTGTCATTCAAATAATCATTAAAAAATAATGAGATAGATTAATGTGATATGTTCCTTTATAAATATACAACTTTATTTTCAATTTATACAAGTTGAAACAGCATAAACAAATACGATTGTGAATATGTGCGCTATTCACAGTCATATTTGCTTTTTAAAAAAGTTGTATACGCCGATTTAAACTAATTTCTGTGGAGTGATATATCATTATGTTTTGTCTACATTTTTACTTTCTTTTAAAGATTATTTGAATGATATGGAAAACGAGGGGACTTCCTTGAGGGATGAAAATGTATCAGCACTTCAGCAGGCTTGATCAAAGAACAAATGAAAGGGATTCGTTCGATAGTTTAATTACCTCATCAAGACGACTGGAAGCAACAAGTTGACGCGCTTGTTCTTGCATCTCCTCTATTTTTTCATGACTTTCTAAATGGTGAATATCGTGGAGATCGCCTAGGTCATGTAAGCTTCGTATTTTCCGCAGAGTAACTCTCTCATCAGATGTTTCCTCCGTCACGAGATTTGCATTATCTGTTGAGCATCGAATATTATGGTGTACATAAATCTGAAATTGCAACACCACAATTTTTTTATTTTTGAGATTGAGAGGCAGCCCTCTCCCATTTCCACCAGTAGAAATGGAGGAACAAGACATTTCAACACCATAACGATCTCTCAACATAATATTGAGATTAGGCATCTTCCGTATAATGTCTGCCAATGTTGGAGGGACGCCTGATGATAGCGGTAGACGATAACCAGTAAGGTCTAGCGTATGGAGCCTTTCCAGCTTGCTTAGCGACTCAGGCAGCTCAGAGATGACATGTGAAAGTTTCAGATACTGCAAATTTACTAGTCCTGTAATAGAATCTGGCAGTGGCAGTCTCTCGAGCCTAAAGCAACCTGACAGGTTTAGATCCTCCAAATTTGTTAGGTTACCAAACAAATGAGGTAACTGTTGAAGCTCAGAGCAGCCAGAGAGATCTAAGAATCGAAGTGCATGGAGACTGCATAAGTAGTCAGCATCCTCACTGACTCCGGGGCAGTATGATAAGTTGAGATATTCTAGTCTCTTGAGATCCCCAAGTGTTCTGGGCAAGTTCCGAAGTTTCTCACATCTCTGAAGGTTCAAATATGTTAGCTTCTGATAAGATCCAATGAATGATGGCAGCTCCTCAAGGTGTGATTCTGAGAAATCCAAAGCCTCAAGGTTTTGTAAGCTACTCATCTGGTTTGGTAATTTACGAATTCTTAAGCCAAAACCAGCAAGATACCTGAGAAGCTTCAAATAGCCAATGGATGCTGGCAATTCTAGATCATAACAACAGGTAAGATCCAAGATCCGCAGATGATTCAATCTTAAGAATGCATCTGCAAGAAGACAGTTTTTGAATGATATTGCCCTGGCCCCGGTGAGAACATCTTTCTGAAGGGTTGAGTGTCCTGTGTGATTTATCAGCACAGCGTAAGTGGAAGAGACCTTTTCAGCTGAAGGGCCCCTTGATAGCTCTCTACCATCAGAAATTACAATGTCACTACCAGCAACATATTTTGCAAAAGCATGCACCAAGCTATTCACCTGGAGTAATGTACGACGATTGGTAGGACTGATTCCAGTGGCCTAAAAAACAAACATATCAATCTCACAATTTGCTCCAAAACAACATGGTTCAATTTGGACTAAATGTTGAAATGCTTAGCAGTAAGCACTGACAGAGACAGGCTTCTGCACAGGAAGCTGCGTGTTTGAATATCTTCCGCATTTAGCTAGCACATCAAAGGTAATTAGTTTAAACACCCAAAAAAAATGTTTCTTTCTATGAAAAAAATTAGCAATATTTGTTTCTCAGCACATTGAGACAAGTACTACCAATTTGCAATCACATTAAAATATAGTAACAAAATCATGATCTGCTATCATGTTTACCATGTGAACTGCTATAGTCATCAATCATCATTAGCAAACTACAGAAGTATATATAAAAACATTCACATCATTCATAGTAAAGACTATTACTAAATGAGCAGAGTTAGATAGAGTGATTTACTCGTAGCTACATGTTTCAGTTACAGAAGGCCCATAGATGATGCTGTAACGTCTTATTTTTAAAGGAAATTAGCACATAATTTACATGCAGTGCCTTACTTTCTGACCACACACCATGAGCAAACATAAAATGGGAAAAACATAAATGACAGGATAACTAGGATACCATACTGCATCAGCAACATCGCAAAGTTTAACTATGTTAATGCTTACTAAATGTCAATTTATTGGAAATATAAATCTCCCCTTTTTTGTACAGAATAGGTAATGTATTTCACGAGGGGTCTCTGCCTCTGTAAATTTACTCCAATGTAATTAGTATTCTGCCTGACAGAAGGGGTTTAAATATTTCCTAAACACATCAGGTTCTCTTTGGAACATGGAATTCTTGTAGGAACTTAATTTTAGACTTCTGTTTCATCCAAAAAATCATGTGATCTAAGCTTCAAATAGGCCTTGAAATTTAAATTGAATAGAAATGCCTAACATAATTTATGTACCCACCCTTCTGTGCCACAGTAATTTTACTAGATGTGACAGCATATTTTGTTCAAATAAAAAATTAGAACAAAGAGTAAAATACATGGAGGGTCATCCAACTTGTTTAGGTGTGTCACATAGGTCACTTTGCTTTTGAGATGCACATGTGGGTTACTAATGTGAGTTAAGTGAGTCATTTAGCCATCTAACTATCCACATGAGCACACCTCGTACACGTGTGCCACATAGGATTGGAAAAAATGTTTGGGCATCCGCAGCCGCTGCCCCCTACGATTTCACCTCCGTTGCTGTTAAGCTTGTCGTCGTTGCCGCCTAGGATTTTGCCTCCGTCACTGTTTATATTCATAGCTTATCATTGCCACCAGCGAGTTTGATGGCAAGTGAGAGAGTACTGAGAACTAGAAGAACTCATCAAAACAATTACAAGTGAAATGATTTGGTTTCCCTAATTCCGTGTATTTCCAAGTGCTAGTGTTGTGAGAAAGGGAAAAAAAATACGCATGCGATTTATGCACATGTCCGAAAGCAATTTTTTCAATCGTAGGTTGCATGCCATGTATACAAGGTATACTCATTTGGATAGTTAGATAAGTAAATGACTCACTTAACTCACATTAGTGAACTAAATGTGCATTTTAAAAGTAGAGTGATCTACCTAACACACCTAAACAAGTTAAGTGACCTTCCATGCATTTTACTCTTGGAACAAAATGGTTGTCAAGGCGTCGCCAAAGCGTCACTATGACAGTAAGGCGCTACCAGGAGTCAGTGCGTCTAGCCCGCCTTACCATATTGCTTATGGTGTCCGCCTTATACCCAATGCGCCGTTATGGCGTCTATATCGCGTCCTTGGCGCTACAACAGCTAAAGGTGACGCCACAGGAAGTCGAGGACACGGTTTTTGCCCCGATTAGTTCAAGGGCCCAAAAAATTGGCGCCATGGGTCCTGGACGCGAAACAGAACTAACAAGCGCCAACTTTTAGGGTGAAAAGGTCCCCACGTGCCAAATCCCACCAAATCAATGTGAAAACAACAGAAAGAGGGTCGCTGGAGCCTGAGGCTGTGGCGATCCATTCGCCTGCAGCTACCCTATGCCTGCACCATCATCCTGGTCCTCTGCACCTGCGCCATCATCCTGGTCCTCACCATTGACACAAAAACTAAAAGCAGGCATGCTCTTCTTTCTCCTCTTCCCTCCACCTCTACTTTCCTCTGTTTCTTTCTCTGTTCTACGTGATCCTGCTTTGCGCCTTCCTCTGCTGCTCTGTTTTGGTGTTTCCTCCCCCCTTTTCTACATCCTATCTACTCTGCTCCCTCATTTGCTACTATGTTGTGGTCTTTCCTCCCTCTCCTCTACATCTCATCTACTATACTCCTCCCTCTACTGCTCTGTTTTGCTCCCTGACTCCCTGTTAGTAGTAGTACTCAGCACATATTTACCCTGCTTTGCTCTTCCCCCATGCCGCCTCTCTCTGTGTATTCATAGGATGGTGTTCTTTTAGTTAATAAATTGATATCTAGTTAAGTAATTACTATAACCATCTAGTGGGCTCAAGATTTGCCAAGAACAAGGTATATATACGTGTGTTGTACTGCTCTTAAAATACAACTTTGATTTGCTATCAGATTAGATTATTTTGTTTGCCACCTAATTAGTATGGAGTGTCTAAGGTGTTGCCTCACCTTGCGCCTTACTGCTATGGCGATAAGGCAGCCCGGGATCATCTTAGGACGCTTTACCACCTTAACAACCATCAACAAATGTAATGTTGTATACTTTTTAAGGATATAGATTTTCCACGTGCTAATACACGAAATTAAAGTAAAAGAAAAGGAGTAAGATAACAATCACCGAAAAATATCATTATTATTCACGTGTAATTTATGTACTGGTACACAAAAGATAGACAAGGCTTTAGCTTAAAAAAAAGTTACTTACAGAGGGTATCTTTTGGATTTCAAGGAAGAATAGTGATAAGAGTTCCTGAATGAACATCTCTCCATGCACATAAGCAGGTAAAGCCCCGTGCTTTGAACCAACCATGTCAAGTGCTATCCACTGTTGAATCAGCTTCTCTCTATCTATTACGAATCCTATGGGGAAGATTGACAAGTAAGAGAAGCATGATTTTAAAGCTGAGGGCATACTGTGATATATTTCACTGAATGGTGCAAGTAACTCAAACCCATTAGCAAATACTTTTGGCAATTCCCATATTTCCTTATCCCTTGCCCATAACCAGGCATTATCATCCTTGTTACGCATCATTGAACCAAGAGAATACGCTGCCATAGGTATGCCTTCGCACCTTTTCACAATTTGCCTCCCAATTTCAGCACGGTCCATGTTTCCGGCTCCATTATCAAATGCTCTCTGACAAAATATTCCCCAACAGTCATCGTCAGATAAAGGGTGCAACTTGTATGATGGAACAGTGCCTATTAGATCTGCAGATACTTCACTGGAAGTCGTCACAATGATCTTGGTGCACTTCTCTGTACCCCTCAACATCTCCTTCAATTCAATTAGCTGATTTTTATCTGTGCTAATCAAGCCATCCAAGACTATCAAACTGCTTTTGTCAGAAAGAACTTCTTGGAGGCGATTCTTCATAAACTGCAAGTTGTTATGAATTTGATCATTCAGGACAAACTCTGAAATAGTTTCTTCTTTTTTGTTAACCTGTGAAATTATATCATTGGCAATTTTATTAAGCTCTAATTTCCTGTCGATACAGATCCATATACGTTGATCAAAGTTCCACTCTTCTCCATAGTCTTGGAAAATTAACCTTGCTAGAGCTGTTTTCCCTATCCCCGCAAGGCCGACAATGGGAATGATGGAAAATTTATCAGCATCATTTTGGAAGAGCAAATTCTTTACATTTTCTCTGTCATTGTCCCTCCCAAGGATTTTATATCCATCAAAAATTACTGGCTCATTGCAATGCTTAAGGTTGGATGGACTGTGCTGCATTAAACTCAATACAACAGAATCTTCTGTTGACAGATCTAACTTTCTTTTGATTATCCTTATTCTTTGCAATCTACTACTATTAAAGAAACAAGGACTTGAGGAACACAACAATATTTCCTGCAAATTATACATTGAAGTCGTAGTTTTAGTGAGTTAATTTCAATTGATAATCATATTTCAAAGGATTCATTTTGGGGAACAGTAGGGGAGAGCCCTTGCTAAAAGTATACAATAGCACTAACACTGCCGTAGCTAGAAGTAAATAATGCGTGGTCATAGAAAGAACCCTTGCTAAAAGGATACAGCAATATAACACTGACACTGCGTAGCTAAGAAGTAAACAATGCATGGCCATAGAAGGATGAAGCAGAACTGTAGGAGTAATAGCATAAGAAATACTCCAGACATCAATACTTTTACAGGTAAAGTATTAGTCACTTGAACGATGGGAACAGCTATAATACTGAAACAATGTCATATTGCATTTTTCAGGTCATCAGCAGTAGAACTTTTGTAATTTGCACAGCCAGTTGTACAGAAAATAAACAATAATTTGTTGAAGGATGAAATAATTAATAGTGAACATTTGACACAGTTATTTTTCTAAAGGAAAAAAGGTAAAAGGACTTAAAATCTCTTAAATCAGGACGTAATCTGAAAACGAAATTCCACTATGGGGGTTACCCCTTTTCAAAGGATTGTGACGAACCTTTGCAATCCAGGAACTGCCCCTTTGAGATCCGGCCTCACTGCAGTCCTCAAATTCATCTAGTAGATCTTGGATGTCATAGGAAATCTGATTGATCTTCCTCATCCATTCCTGCGCCTCCATGCTCATCTTGAAGTATTTCCCCTCCACGCTTAGCAGCACATCTTGCAACCTTGCCAGGGTCCGCCGTACCTGCGCCATATCCTCGTCTATGCTCGAGGGCAGCTTCAAACGACCAGCATCTGCGGCTAGCCGCCGTAGAAGCCGGTCCACGGCGGCACCGGCTGTGGCCATACGGGCATGGCAGTTTTGGAATTCTGTTTTTTGAAAAGAATGGTTTTGGACTTCTGGTTTTGCATTTCAGCAGGGTAGATAAGATAGAAGGGAGGAAGATTCCATCGAGAGAGAAAATTACGAAAACGCCTTCGCTCAGCCCTCCTTACCGAGAGGGAAAAAAAAATCGTACGCATAAACAAAGCGAATGAGTGCACTGGGGAACCCACGAAAGATGTTTTTAATTTTATTTTTTATACATGGCTGACATAGGTCATAGATCACTAATACTCCTACGGTTGTACTCCCTCCATCCCATAAAAAATCAACCTACTACCGGATATAATAGGTTAGTTTTTTATAAAACGGAGACAGTATCGCCGTCACAACAGCCCACGGACTATGTTGGGCATTTTCTGGTTTCATATGGCACCTAAGGGTTGTGTTATTTCAACTTATATATGCAATCCTTATAAGCCTGTGGAATGTCCAGATAACTCATCGGTTGAAAGTTGAAACCCCGATGAAAGCCTTATTGGCAATCCACAAGCAGGCTAGAGATTATAGTTCTAAGCACGACTTAGCAGATCGAATGTACTGATGCAGCACTAAGTATGAAAAGAAACATAATATCTAGACAATCAAGCCTTTGATTGATTTTCAGGGTGGTGGATGTCTAAACTAATCTAATCTAGCAAGACGATTTAACCGATACCTTATCGGTAGAAACCCTAAAGCGAGAGACAACCGATAGAACTAAATCGAGATGTTAAGACTAGATTAACAGAGACATACGATAGATAGGTTCTTACATGCACAAGATCAGAGTGTCGAAACCCTAGCCCCGCCGATGCAAACAACCATGACAAGTAGAAACTCGTCGAAAAAGTAGAAAAGGTAAAAGGTGGTGATACACTAAATTGTATTGATCGTAGAGATAGTTTAGAATGACCCCGGGTGTACATATTTATACCCATGGATAGATACTAGTCCTTATTGAACAAGAAAGAAATTTTTCTAAAAATAAAAGAAAAACATAAAAACCTTATAGGACACTAAACACACTTTCCTAAAGATAAAAGGAAACTAACAAACTATTCCTAATTAATAAATAACTTGCCACGCCGCATCCTCCTTGAACTCGGTCTCTTCTCTTTTAGATAAGCTTCCTTGAATAGATTTAACCGAGTCCTCCAAGAATCCGACTGCTGGCGACTTGACGACTCCCATCGGCCGATTCCAGAACTCTGAAGCCGATATTGATTTTAGGCCGATGATGACCTGGGGGTTTACCAAATTTCACGGTTAACTTATGGATAAGACATACCTAATAGTCTTAGGTTAAACTCGGCAAGGCCCACCATTTAACGAGTCTTATACGGAATCATACCTTATATACGGAGGATTTTCCGGATAAAGAAGGAGAAGCAGAGTACTATATGGAAACTATAATGACTACTCCGAACATATTCATATTTATTTCCCTAGTTCTACTTGGACAAGGGGATATCCGTGGGTATAAATATAAGACTCCCTTGGAGAAGAAGAGAGACCAAGACAATACATGTATAACTATAAGTCATTTTGAATATATACTCTATGTTTCAGACTATAAGTCATTTTGACTTCGGTCAAAGTCAAACTGCTTCAAGTTTGATCAAGTTTGTAGAAAAAAGTAGTAATATTTTTAACCCAAGATAAAAATATTATGAAAATATATTTAATTATTGATTTAATGAAACTAATTTGGTGTTGTAAATATTACTATATTTATCTACAAACTTAATCAAATTTAGAGTAGTTTGATATTGACAAAAATGAAAATGACAGGGAGTAGTCTATGTAGGCCTGTACATCTTTTATATATCAAGGCATTATATAGTGGATATGAGTAGCTGCCACTGAATTATGTGGGTCAGGGCCTATATGCTACAGCAGTCGATAGGGGACTATATGTAAAGTGATGTAAGCGGGTTGTGTAAATTGGCACAGCAGATTTGTGCTTAATGTGGAGAAGAGAAGAGGAGATAGAAAAAAGTGGGCTACAGATTTATGCTTAATGTGGAGAAGAGAGGAGAGGAGATAGAAAAAAGTAGGCTATAGATTCATTGTTAGTTGTAGTACGAGTTCCAATAAATTATATAAGAGATAAATGTGGGGTTGTATTAATGGTGTAATATATATATACAGTTAACTATTATATGTGGGTTATTAAGTTAACTTAAGATGATGTGTGTAATTTTAAAAGTGTAGGATATATCTTTAGTTAACTATAATTTGCTTGGGCTATTACGTTAACTTAAGGCATATCTCCTCTGCACGAAAAACGGAGCGGTCCATTAGCACGTGATTAACTAAATATTAGCTATTTTTTAAAAAAATAGATTAATTTGATTTTTTAAGTAACTTTGGTATAGAAACTTTTTGCAAAAACGTATCGTTTAGCAATGTGAAAAACGTACACACGGAAAACGAGGAATTGGGGTTGGGAACAGGCTGTAACGAACGTAGCATTAAGATGATGTGTGTAATTTTAAAGTTAGTAGTTGACTATATTATTAAATATATTATTAAAATTGCTCTAAACAACAGCTGGAGGTGTTGCACTGCGAGGATGATATAGTGGTCGAGCTGGCCAAGGGGCCAACATGCTCAGAAAAAAAACGAAAAACATCTTGTTTGGTGGTTGCTTGAAATAAATAAGGTGTGCGAGAGACACTAGTGGCCATAGAAGTTTTTTAAAAAAATTTAAATTAAATTAAGCACAGAATACAATGAATTTGGCAACATCATCAAGAATAGACTGCTCGCTTGCCCTGTCTAATTTATTGTCGCGCTGGCCTAGTGGCTAACATGCTCCCAAAACACAAAAAAACAGAGGGTTAATTGGATCATGTCACTGCAAATATGCCAAATTAGAAAAATACCACTACTATTCGCATTATCGGTTGGGTCCCACTAAAATTTTCTAAAATTGGAACCATGCCACTCCTATCATTATTTCAGTCCTTCTCTCTCACGTCGGCACAGAACAAGGCTAAGCGGCGCCGGCGAGCGACGAGGATAAGGCGGCGGGGAGCGGGCGCGGCCGCCGCGCCAGCGAGACGCCGACGTGCACCGTGCAAGCAAGGCTGTGGCCTGCTTCCCGATGCGGCCGCGCACTTGGACCATCGCCATTGCCACTGACCGGGCGGAGGTCCGCGTCCGGGGGGCGCGGTGAGGCATCGTCGGTCTGCGAGATGCGGCGGAGAGAACGTTGAAGCTGGTGTCTGAGGAGCTCCCGGCGAGATGCGTGGATCCGCCGTCGTCGTCGATGACTGAGGAGCTCCCGATGCGTTTGCGTTTGATGCCAGGCGTGGGGAGCATATAGCGGGGAGTAGTTCGGCGAGCGGCGAGAGGACGAGGAGGCGTCGGCGAGCGTCGAGAGGACGGGGAGAAGATGAGTCGGCGTCGGCGAGTGGCCATGGCATCTCCTTCCCCGTCGTTGATGAGCTCTTCCGCAAGATCCGCGCCCCTCTGTGACCATCCTCACCGACGGCGGCCGCGCCCCTCGGCGAACTCCGCACGCCCCTTCGCAACCTCCCCGCGACCGTCCTCGCTGGCGGCGGCCACGACCGCACCCGCTCCCTGCCGCCTCATCCTCGCCGCTCACCGGCGCCGCCTCGCCTTGTCCCCGTGCCGACATGAGAGAGTAGGATGACGAAGTGAGAGAGGAGGACGAAAATAATGACAGAAGTGGCATGGTTCTAATTTTAGAAAATTTTAGTGGCACACAGCCAATAACATGAATAGTGGTGGTATTTTTTTTATTTACCACATTTACAGCGACATGGATCCAATTAACCCAAAACCAAAAGTATCTTGGTGAAGGGTTGCTTACACTAAATAGGGTGAACCGAAAACACCAAAGGCGTAGTTTAAAAAAAAAGAAGAAATTGAGCACATAATTTTGTTCGTACAAAATTGAGTACTTTATCCGTCCTCATTATACCTTTGTCTGTTGCAAAGCCTAAATAGCTAGGGGCTATAGAAAGACCCCACGTCGTCTCCCGCTTAGGCGACACGGGGGTGGAAACCTAGCCACCGGCGCCACCCCTCTCCACAACCTCCCTCTGCCTTGCCGCTGCCGGAGTGAGTGGCTGGCAAAGCCGGCGGCTTGCCATGATGGTGGCGGCGGGACTCGCGGGGGTGGCCACCTTCAACCTGGCGCGGGCGGATGTGGAGGTGGAGGTTGGCCGGGACGACGCCGGTGTCAGGGCTGTGTCAAGCCGATGTTATTAAACACATGTTGCAAAGGTCAATTTTAAGTGGGAGAATTGGTAAGTGGGCATATGCTTTGATTGAATATGATTTGTCTTATGAACCGTTGAAATCTATGAGAGGCCAAATTGTATGTGATTTTATAGTAGATCATCATGTAGATATTGCTTATGAGAAAAAAGTTTGCTCAGTTGAAGTTATACTTTGGATGATTTATTTTGATGGTTCTTCTTGCAAAGAAGGTCAAGGCATAGGGGTAGTTTTGTTTTCACCTAATGGCATGTGTTATGAGGCATCGGTTCGTTTGGAATATTATTGTACAAATAATCAAGCCGAATATGATGCTTTATTATTCGGCTTACAAGTGATGGAGATGATTGGAGCTAAGCACGTGGAAGCGTTTAGTGATTCGGAATTGATAGTGCAACAAGTTGCCGGAGTCTACAAATGCTTGGACGGATCACTAAATAGGTATCTTGACTCATGCTTGGATATTATTGCCAATTTTGATAATTTTGCTATTAGATATATTGCTAGGCATGATAATTCTAGAGCAAATGATTTGGCACAACAAGCATCTGGCTATAATGTGAAGAAGGGATTATTTCTGGTATTAGAAGTGTCGATGCTTGATTTTAAGTCTTTGTGCAAAATTGGTAAAACTGGAGACCAGAGGCGGTCTGACCGGTGACCAGGGGCGGTCTGACCAGCCACATGCCGCCAATCTGACCGGCCACCCCGGGCGGTCTGACCGGCCTTGCACGGCCGGTCTGACCGGTTCTGGACAGAGCACTGGGGGGCACGCCACAATTGATTCAAAGGCCGAATTAATTGTAAATTCGGACATTTGTGCCCAAGATACAGAAGAAGATTGGAGAATTCCTTTTATTAGATATTTGAAAGATCCTACACTTAAGGTTGATCGGAAAATTTGGCGGCAAGCGTTCAAATACACATTGCTTGATGAAGATTTATATCGCCGAAATAAAAATGGTGTCTTATTGAAGTGTTTAGATGAAGATCAATCTAAAGTGGCTATGGGAGAGGTGCATGAAGAAATTTGTGGAACTCATCAATCGGCCCACAAGATGAATTGGTTGCTTAGGAGAGCAGGGTTCTATTGGCCGAGGATGATTGAAGATTGTTTAAAATACTATAGGGGATGCGAAGCTTGTCAATGGTTCGGCAATGTTCACTTGGCGCCCGCCGCCGTGTTGAACCTTATCATCAAACCATTGCCGTTCCGAGGTTGGGCTTTGGATTTCATTGGTCAAATTTATCCTTCGTCATCAAAGAGGCATAGGTTCGTGCTAGTTGCTACGGATTACTTCACTAAGTGGGCCAAAGCCGTGCTGCTCAAGAATATGACTTATATGGAGGTAATTGACTTTATTTTGAAGCATATTACTCATAGATTCGGTATTCCGCAAACATTAACTACGGATCAAAGAGCTTCTTTTATGTCTAAGAAAGTAAAGAGTTTTGCCGAATCTTATGGTGTTAAATTGTTGAGTTCTTCTCCTTACTATACTCAGGCTAATGGACAAGCCGAGTCGAGTAATAAGACGTTGTTGAAGCTAGTGAAGAAGAATATTGAAGAACACCCAAAGAAGTGGCATGAGGTGCTTTCCGAAGCATTGTGAGCGCATAGGATATCTATACATGGTGCCACTAAAATCACTCCTTTTGAGTTGGTTTATGGTCAAGAAGCCGTTTTACCGGTTGAGGTAAATCTTGGTTCTCTTAGTTATATCAAGCAAGATGATTTGTCAAGTGAAGATTACAAGACATTGATGGGAGACAACCTTGATGAAGTCATCGACAAACGCTTGAAGGCTTTGGAAGAGATAGAGAAAGAGAAGAAGAGGGTGGCCAAGGCGTACCACAAAAGGGTGAAAGTGAAGTTGTTTCAAGTTGGAGACTTGGTTTGGAAGACAGTTTTGCCTTTGGGTACTCGATCCAGGGAGTTCGGTAAGTGGTCTCCTAGTTGGGAAGGTCCTTATCGATTATGCGGCATTGTTCGAGGGAACGTGTATTTTTTGGAGACACTTCAAGGGGAGCGTTTTTAGCGAGCAATCAACGAGAAATACTTGAAGAAATACTTCCTGAGCGTTTGGCAAGACGCTTAGGAGGTGCTATGGCCGGTAATTGGATTATCGCCCTAAGACCAAAAACATGTTCTATGCTTTTAGATTCACGTTGTTCATCAAAAAGGCAAGGGGGCATATGTTTACACCCAAATTTGGCACCTAGGATTAAAATAGGAAAAATTGCCAAAGTTTAGAAGTCTACCGATTTCCTCCGAGTAGGCTGGTCTGACCGCCGTGTGTTGGCCGGTCAGACCGCCGGTTGAGGGCCGGTCAGACCGGCGGTGTGTGGTCGGTCTGACCGGCAAGTCCAAGTCCAGGTCTGTTTTACCGGGTCTCGAAGTTTCCTTGCTTGGGAAGGTATGTTTCGGGTTTCCTTTGGATTCTATCCCGAGTTGGACGTGGAGGAGGGCCTGTAAAGGGCAAGACCAACCCCTATATAAGGGACATGGCCGGTTCAATTATAACTAACCAATCTACTATCAATCAATCGACTCGTTTTTCATATTGCTTTTAGTTTTCTCTTAGTTTGTCCATCTTTGTCATTTTGCGCTGTAAATTGTCCGCCGCCGCTGCGAGAGTGCGACACCTCTTTGTAGGTTTGTCCTGAAAACCTTCCGTTTTGCCCACAAGACGGGTAGCTATCTAGAAATCGGCTTCGCTAGTCGGTTTAGTTATCAAAACCCATCTTGGTCTAGTTTTTACTAGATTGAGGTAGTTGGCGACTCTAAGATCATCGCAAGGCGTAAGATGCTGTGATCGTGGTTGTAAACTTGTCACAAAAAGTTGGCAACTGAAACATCAATCGGTGATCCGAAATGAAATTTAATAATGTAAAAACGACGCGAGGACTACAAAGACAACAGTTCCCCCTTCATTCGTCTAGTCAACACCGTTTTGCAATACCTCCCCCATATCTGCATTGGTGTCTTCCCTCCGGTCACTCCTAGCTCCCCCATCCGTTGCAGCATGGTTGGCGCCGAGATGCTTGTGGCCGCGGCGGTGAGCCAGGTCGCCCGGAAGATCAACGGCATCGTCGGCGTCGCGCAGGGCGAGGTGAAGCTGTGCTGCAATTTCAGCGACGATTTGGAGGGCATCAAGGATACCTTGGTGTACCTGGAAACCCTTCTGAAAAACGCCGAGAACAACTCCTTCGGAAGCGACAGGGCCAACCTGCGACACTGGCTCGGCCAGATCAAGTCCCTGGCTTACGACATCGAAGATATCGTTGATGGGTACTACTCTTCCAAGGAGCAGTTCGATGGGGGCAGCTATGCTCAGAAGGTAATGGATGCTCTTCGGAAAGCCAATCTCTTCCCTTTCTTTAGTCCAGAAGAATTCCTTCTGCAATTTCAATTTAATTTTCGGAATTAGCCGGTGATTGGATCTGGAGTGTATTAGTAGGGGCACGTGGCACCACTAGAATGGCTTGTTGCCTAACTGCGAATCAGCTCGGAATTGGGAATTTTTCCTTTCTTCTTTTTTATAAGCTGTATAAAGAAAGGGTCTCATAGGTTGCCCAAAAGCTGATTATAAGCTGTAATGGTTTATTAGCGACCAAATAATAATTTGTGTAAAATTTTTATATATGTGTTCTCAGCGATTTAAAAGTCAATGCTGAAAAAATATGTTGAAAATATCTTATCTTAAAAATCAACTTCAAAATTAAGTTTTAAAATTCAAATTTTGGCTTTGGCTTATTCTTCTTTGGGCAACCTATGGGGCTGAAAGAAGCAATATCATCTTATCTTTGACATCCTTCGATGGTAACTGTTTGGATTAGCCCAGTCTTTGTAGCCTACATCAATCTTTTTTGGGTTGTTGGATTAATCATTTTGTCAGTTCCATATATTGCAATTTTGCAATTGCACTTTACACACCAACATCCTGCAGCAACGCACAGGGTGTCATCTAGCGTAGCTTATATAAGTCAACACAATCGATAATTAGAAGCATCCTTCCTTTTGTTAAGAAATTATTTGGTAATAGTAAGAGATAAGCCGAATACTTACACGTAACTTATCTTTAGACTGTACATTTGCTTGAGGGGGACTAGATAGTGAGAGATGAGAAACTTGTAGGCATGCAAAAAAATGTCCTTCGTATTATATGAGAAAATGCAAGGTTTATACCAAAGACTTGTGTATCTATCAGCTATGTAAGGGCTGGTACCTTCCTTGGCTCCTTGATGCACCAACTCTTGTTTAGCTGTCCCCTTTTTTGTCTTCCAGCAACATCGTTATCAAAATATAAAATATATTTCATGATAAAGACTACTTTTATGTATATATGTTGGTAAATTTACAGGGGTCATTATTCTGCTCACTATCGAATCCAATGCTTCTGAAAGGTAGCATGGTTTATAAGATGAAGTCCAAGAGGGAGATGTTACAGCAAAGGCAACAATTGCCCAATCAGTATCATTTCCTTTCACATATCAACTCAGCAGTGAATTTTGAGGAGAAGCAAACAACATCATACAGAAATACTGACATTGCAATTGTTGGGAGGGATGCAGACTTAGATAATCTCATGGACATTTTAATGGAAAACAGCGCTGAAGAGCTTTCCATTATATCCATAGTTGGGCCTGTAGGTTTTGGGAAGACAAGCCTAGCACAGTTCGTTTTCAATAATACAGGAACAGAGGTATTCAGCTTTAGGATATGGGTTCATGTTTCCATGGGTAATATCAACCTTGAAAAAATTGGAAGAGATATAGTTTCACAAACTACAGAAAAAATTGAGGGAAATATGCAGCTGCAGTCAATCAAGAATGCTGTTCAGCGTGTGCTAAATAAATATAGTTGCTTGATCATATTAGATAGCCTTTGGGGAAAGGATGAAGAAGTGAATGAATTGAAGCAGATGTTGCTTACTGGTAGACATACAGAAAGCAAGATCATAGTGACCACTCATAGCAATAAAGTAGCTAAGCTGATTTCCACCGTTCCACTGTACAAGCTGGCAGCTTTATCTGAGGATGATTGTTTAAAAATATTCTCTCAAAGGGCAATGACAGGTCCGGGTGACCCGTTGTTCAGGGAATATGGAGAAGAAATCGTTAGAAGGTGTGAAGGCACACCCTTGGTAGCCAATTTTCTCGGTTCTGTGGTGAATGCTCAACGACAAAGGCGTGAGATTTGGCAAGCTGCAAAGGATGAAGAAATGTGGAAGATAGAGGAAGATTATCCCCAAGACAAAATTTCACCACTATTTCCATCATTCAAGATAATATATTATAATATGCCCCATGAGCTAAGATTATGCTTTGTATATTGTTCAATCTTCCCTAAAGGAACTGTTATAGAAAAGAAGAAACTTATTCAGCAATGGATTGCACTTGACATGATTGAGTGTGAAACCATGTGTGGTTATAGTTCTTTTGTGATGGGAAATTGACAAGTACTGGAAGTGCAAGAAGTGTGTGCGTGGACTAACATTGGTCAGATTGCGACATCTGTGCCAAGACAACGGTTGTTTGGTTCATGTGTGTGCAGGTGATCGGGGTCGATCTTGGTCAACGGCGGATCGGGACTAGACTCAGGGAGGAGTTGAGGTCCAAAGCGATCAAGGATGCCGGGTGACAAGATTGGACATAAGGTTGCACACGGTGGACGAACACCGTGTGAGGAGGTCTTCGCAACGGACTTCGCAAGGTCAAGTGCAAGTGCCGGGTTCGCGAACAGAATGGAGAATGGAAGAGGAGCTTGTATACATGCACTGGCATGTGCATATGCAAGTATGGACAGTGGTGCTTCGGTTGTGCATGCGTGCACATGGCCGAATGCCATGCACGGGGGCAAGACATGCATGTGTGCATGAGGAGCTTGCTAGCCCATTGGTGCATGTGAGCTGTGATTGGTTGGCAGGGAGGCCAAGCCAATCCAGCCCTTCCTCGTGGCTCAAGATGATGGATGGATCAGCAGGCAGGGAGGCCAGGCCGAGCAGGCCCAAGACAAGACGACGGCCCACGGCATTGGCACCATGCGCGGGCAAGCGCGGGAGATCGCGCGAGGCACGCGCGCGCAGTGGACACGCGGCGGCAAGGAATTCGGCGCGTGCGGGCGTGGGGTCCACGCTGTTTCAAGTGGCTCGGAGGCGGGAGTTGTACTGGGACCCACGCGCGATTTCGCGAGCATGCGCGGGAGCAGCTCGGCGGGACGCGTGGAGGCTTTGGACTGGATGCGCGCAGGTGAGCGTGGGATCCACGCGGTGGAGCGCGCGCTCTCGCATGCTGAGGCGTGACGTGGCGGCTCGTCACTGGTTTGGAGAGGGAGCACGCGGATCAGTGCGGCGTGGAGAGTTTGGATCAACGACGTGGCAAGCATCCAGGAGGCTTCCTTCGGTTCTAAGGAAGAATGGGTGGACCAGATCCATTCTGAGTTAGGGTTTCGCCCTAGGGGTATTTGAGACAATGTCTTATGGGTCTTAGCCTATAAATAGAGAGATGGATGCAAGGGTGGAGGTTGCTTCTTTGGCAATCCTTTTGAGATGCTCGGTGAGAGAGTTTCAGTTTGAGTTTGGAGTGTGTTTGCCCGAGAGGCTTTTGTATTAGGATTAGTTTGAGTGTGTTTGTCCGAGAGATTTTAAGTTTGTGTTAATGTTCCTCTGAAGGTGTATGTTTGCTCCTAGTTGAGCGGTTATTTTGCATCACCTATAAATGAAATGATTTGAAGGATTTCATTTTTGCCTTGTCCATTTAAATTCCGCAATTTAAATTCCGCTTGCAATTTGAACTTTGCGATGATGAGTTTTGCTCTCTCTTCCTCACCTCTCTTCTAGTTTCGGGAATTCATTTTCTCTTCCTCCTCTAGTTTCGGGAATTCCTTCTCTCTTCTTTTTCTCTCTTCTTTTCTAGATCCGGCTTCTCTAATAGCTGCGGTTCTAGTAAGGATTTTGAGAAATCCGGCTTGATGAGTATTTTCGGGGGTAAGATTTGAATTGCTATATTCACCCCCCCCCCCCCCTCTATAGCTGTTCTTGGTCTTTCATTGAGTCCAAACATGGAACCTTGCCACTTGATGTAACTGCGGAGAAATATATTGATGAACTTAAAGCAATCTATTTCCTTCAAGTTTTAGAGAGGTCTCAGGTAAGTTCATGGGTTCTTTTTTACCTTCTCCTGTACATATCCTATGTAACTAGAATGTGGTTAAATATCTCCATTAAGCATAGTAGCTTATACCATTGTTTTATTTCTGAATTCTCAACAAGTTTCCGTAAGAAGATTGACCATGATAGAATGGCCATATAGGGATATCTCAACAAACAAGTAACACTGTTTTCCTCCGCAGAATGATGCAGAAAGATCTGGTGCTTCTGAGGAAATGCTTCACATGCATAACTTGGCGCATGATCTTGCTAGATCAGTTGCTGGTGAAGATATCCTTGTTATTTTAGATGCTGAGAATGAGCGCAATGCCAGATATTGTGATTACCGTTATGCACAGGTGTCTGCTTCTAGTTTAGAGTCAATCGATCGCAAGGCATGGCCTTCCAAGGCAAGGTCACTAATTTTCAAGAATAGTGGTGCAGACTTTGAGCATGTCAGTGAAGTTCTTTCAGTGAACAAATACTTGCGTGTTTTGGATCTCAGTGGATGCTGTGTTCAAGATATTCCATCTCCTATCTTTCAGCTGAAACAACTGAGATACCTCGACGTTTCATCTTTATCTATTACAGCACTCCCTCTGCAAATTAGTAGCTTTCATAAGTTACAAATGTTGGATCTTTCAGAAACTGAACTTACAGAGTTGCCACCCTTTATAAGCAACTTAAAAGGGCTGAATTATTTGAATCTCCAAGGTTGCCAGAAACTTCAACGATTGAATAGCCTTCATTTGTTGCATGATCTACATTACCTAAACTTGTCATGCTGCCCTGAAGTTACTAGTTTTCCTGAATCTCTTGAAAATCTGACCAAACTCCGTTTCTTGAATCTTTCTGGATGTTCTAAGCTTTCAGCATTACCTATCAGATTTTTGGAATCATTTGCTAGCCTCTGTTCTTTGGTAGATCTTAACTTAAGTGGTTTTGAATTCCAAATGTTGCCCGACTTTTTTGGCAACATATATTCACTTCAGTATTTAAATCTGTCAAAATGTTTGAAACTTGAGGTATTACCACAATCATTTGGCCAACTTGCATATCTGAAAAGCCTAAACCTTTCATATTGTTCTGATCTTAAACTGCTGGAATCCTTTGAATGCCTTACCTCTCTTCGGTTTTTGAATCTCTCGAACTGCTCTAGGCTTGAATATTTGCCATCGTGCTTTGACAAGCTTAATAATTTAGAGTCTCTGAATTTGTCACAATGTCTTGGACTTAAAGCACTACCTGAATCACTTCAAAACCTTAAAAATCTTCAGCTTGATGTTTCTGGGTGTCAGGATTGTATAGTACAATCCTTTTCTCTAAGTACCAGAAGTTCCCAGTCCTGCCAACGGTCGGAGAAAGCTGAGCAGGTCAGATCAAGAAACAGTGAAATTTCAGAGATCACTTATGAGGAACCTGCTGAGATTGAACTTTTAAGGAATAATCCAAGTAAAGATTTGGCCTCCATCTCACACCTAAATGAGGATAGAATTGAGGAGCCTGAAGTTGTCACTGAGGTAAACTTACATTTTATTAAAGAAATAAAAACAATTTGCTTAGTGTTTCCTTTGAAATTTCCTTATGTCAATACTTAATTTATCTTTGATAGATTTGAGTTACTGGTGATTGAGAAAGTTGTATGCCAATTTGAACCAGTTTCTCACTACCAACTGAAAATGATGACGAACGGAAACTTTGTTGTATAGTTGTGCTCGAATTGAAGATCCCTTTTCTAATGAGGTGATCTAATTGGGTACCAGAACATGAATCATACTTTTTTCAGTAGTTCTTAACACTTCATAGAGAAAATACTAGAGTGTTCCTTCTATTAAAAAACTCCCTAGAGGCCAGCAAGTTATAAATTTAAATGGGATTCTCCTTATTGCCTAGATTTATGTTTTCACGAAAATTTTGTAATATCATACTAACTAATTGTCCATGTCCTTGTTTCTTGATGTAGTCAAGTGCAACTAGAGGTATGGTACAACAGATTCCAGGAAACCAGCTCTCATCGCCTTCATCTCATCTTTCTTCCTTTGCATCAAGCTCAGCGCCATTTGCATCCTCCTCTTGGGACACCTCAACAAGTGAGCATCCAGTGCCTAATGAAGAGGCGGCAGGTATGGTACTTCAAATAATTTTCTCCCGATTTAATCATCTCAAGATGAGGTTCACTTCTTTATTTGAATATACCATTATAAGGAAATAGATCATGCGCCCTCTTGTTTAAAGGAATTTGATGTTTTTTTATATCCGCTCTCTTTGCGATATACTCCCTCCGTTTCAATGTAAGTCATTCTAGCATTTCCCACATTCATATTGATATTAATAAATCAAGACATATATATCTATCTAGATTTATTAAGATGAGGTTCACATCAATATGAATATAGAAAATGCTAGAATGACTTACATTGTGAAACGGAGGAAGTACCTGTCATCCAGCAGTGTTAAAAAGGATAGTATATAGCTGACAAATATGCTCATATAATTTCCTTGTGGGTAATTTTGATATTCTCTTTCTATCTTAATACGTGTTATGAGCACCGGCTAATGACCGAATGGGATATGAATTAAATACCGGAGGTCGAGGCTTTGGCAGCCTCTTCGACGTCCGGCCCATGATTGGCGACGAAAGCAAAAGCAGGGGATGAGAGAGTAGAGAATTGGAGATGGGACTATAGATTGAATCTTGCTTGGTTTATTCATGATTTCGTGGCCCTTAAGTAGGCTTACAATTGAATTGAATTAGCTAATAAAAAGGGATAACAAACTCTTCTCTAAATGTAAGCAATCGGATCATTATCCCTATTCCGGCATGCCACGTCAGTTTTCAGCTCGCGTGATCTCCTTCGACGCTGCGTGGCCCGGTTGCCACATCCGCGTAGTTGCGTTTCTTCGTGGAGACGATTCCGACCCTAACATTACAACTACTTGGAATTCTTTGAGTGTTCTAAAATAATTTGGATAGTGGTACATATGTGGTTACATTTTCTTAATGGTGACATTTAGCCAAGTTGGACTAAGATTTTTATTTTTTGTGGAATGAGAAAGAGTCAAGACAATTTGATACGTAGAAGTTTGCATATTCAGAACCTTATACTGGTTTGTCTTGGTTTATTTTCTTGACAATGCAGCTTTGACAGTTCCTCGGTCCAACGAGAAATGCGACAACACTCCCATGCCGGTAAAAGATGGCCTGATATCTGAAGATGATGCACCGGTACATCTGCATCAGACGCCCCTGCAGGCGACAGCGATGGCAGCCACATGACTGACCTGTAATCATACAAGAAACCAACTGAAGACTCATATGTGGACTGAATGAAATTATGAAAGTTATTGGAATAAATTGTTGCTCTGTATGTGAGAGCAAGCTTCAGTCCGTTAGCCTGGTTCCTTTTAGTAGTGTTCTACTATTGGGAGATTTTCATCAACATTTTACATGAAACGTGATGTAATGAACCTCTGTTAATTGTTAATTGTCAGAGCTCTAGTTTTTTGTGGTATAAATTTTGTTGCAAGGGGGCAATGCACTCAACTTTTGAATCATTTGATTGGTATGGAAATCATTGCATTTGTGCAGAGTTCAGGCAGAGTTCAGTTCTTGCATTTGCACATCGTATTACTATTACCTGGCCTTGTTTGGCACATCTCCAGTTCCAGCTCCACCTCTCCTAGAGCTGGAGCTCAGCCAAACAGTTTCAGCTCCACCGAAAATGGGAGCGGAGCTGGGTGGAGCACTCTAACAAAATGAACTAGAGAGGTGGAGCTAGGTTAAGCTGTTCCACAACTCCACTTCAGATCTAACTCCTAAAGTTAAATTTAAAAGTTGAAGCTCTACCAAACGAGAAAACGGACGATATGCCACTGTATAGGTTGGGTTCGAATGAAATGCCACTCAATACAATGTATCGGATAAAATGCCACTCAATACGTTGCCTATTGGATGAAATGCCACTTTAAAGATTTTTGTGCTCAAAATGTCCCTGGAGAGAGAGGGAGAGGGGAGCGCCAGGGAGGGCCAGCCGGTGACACCGGAGACCTCGCTAGATGGCGGCGGTGGCGGGGACGACGGGGGAGGAGGACAAGGCGGAGGAAGAGGTGACGGCGGTGGAGCCTCAGACCGTCGTCCCCGTCGCTGCCCAGCTGCTGTTGTTCGCCGCGCCGTCCTCCTCCCCCCGCGTGCCTCCTCCTCCTCCTCCCCCTGCCCCTATCGCTGCCACCTCCCGACGAACACGTGGGTAGGCGTGCTTGCCGCCCCGTCCTCCTTCCCTGCGTCGTCGCCTCCTCCTCCTTCCGCCCCCATCGTCCTCGCTGCCGCTCGCCCCTCGCCCTATCCTCCTCCCCCTGTCATCCCCACCGGCCGCCAAGGCCTCCGCGGCCGCCCGGCCGGCCCTCCCCGGCGCTCCTCTCTCCCTCCCTCTCCAGGGACATTTTGGGCACAAAAATCTTCAAATTGGCATTTCATCCGATAGGCAACATATTAAGTGGCATCTTCATTGTATCGAGTGACATTTCATCCGAACCCAACCTATACAGTGGCGTATCGTCCGTTTTCTCCTACCAAACAGACCCTAATATACCATATGAGCTTTTACTAAGCTACAGTATCCGGCCCATTTTACTCATTTCAGGCCGTAGCCCACTCCCCCCTGAATCCAGTTGGCATGTGGGCCCAGTCTGAGCAATCCTGCTGGATTCGACGTGCTTCCTCCAATCGACCAATCCTCGTCCCTTCCCGTGGTTTCGTGTTCCTCCGTTCAACTCCATGATTGGTCCGAGCAAGAAAAGCCTCTCTTTTTCCTTAGGCCCTTCCATTTCAGAGCCAGTCGCCACCTGAGCCGAGCTCTGATTCTTCCATTTCTCTCTGGTTAGATCTTGCACTTACCTCTCCATTATATTGTGTCCTCTTACTTCAAAGCTCTTTTTTTGGGGTAATTTCGATGCAAGATTGCTTCTTGTTGTAGCCGGGTGCATCAATCTGCTTTCTGGGTCTGAAAGATTGATGTAGCAAAGATTTGGGTTTTGTTCCTGTTTCAGTGACCGAGGGAATCATCTACCAGATTCGGTTTCTTGATGGGAAGCAGTAATCGTGAACCCGTGCCTGCGCGGGGATTCGGTAGCCTCGTGCAGATACCGGATAAGATTCAGAACTCTCTCAAGGTTGTTTTTTTTTCTTCAGAAGTGAGGATTTTTTTTTTTTAGAGGAGTTCGAATTAGCTGGGAAGGTTTGAGTTCGTTTGGTTGGATCTTGCTACAGGTGCATTTTGGGCGTTTCTTGAAGAAGAATGGCTTTGGTGGTGGTTCAGAGGCCGAAATGCTGCCGATGCAAATGCAGGGAACTTGTACTACTGTTGCTCCTGAGGTTAGGTTGGACAAGCAGCTCCAAGCTTGGAAGAACAATCCTATTTGGTCTGATGAACCTCCAGAAATCAAGGTGTTTGTAGTTCTTTCAGTGTTAGAAATGATTGTAGGTCATATACAAATCGATTGAAGTTGGGCTCTTTCAGAAAATGAAATGGTGGTTAACTGATTGTCTGAGAACAACAGTTATATAATATATTTACCAGAACCGCTAACTTTCTTCTCATTGTAAACCCCCGAATATTTTCTTCAACCTCAATTTGATGTATTCAGTAATTTTGGAAAAAAAAACACTTATAGTTGTTCATCATTTTGTGGGAGATTTCAGGAATGAGCAATGTAGGCGACTACTGTCTTGTTGAAATGCTAATGCTAACCTTATATGATCAAATCTTTACAGGTGACTGTGCCACAAGGCTCTCTTTGCAACCTGAATCTGAAATTTAAGGCAGGATTACCTCCAGACGCAGTTTACAACATTATAATTGATCCAGAGAACAAAAGAGTTTTCAAAAACATCAAGGTATGTATAAGCAAGTTCCTGAATAGGGTAACAGGAAACATGAAGGCTCATTCATCATGATATTGTGGCACTTGCTTGATTTCCCTGATTTGGTTACTGATACCAAATGAGCAGAGGAATTGCTCTAGTATCTTAACCGGCCAAGTACTCGTGAGAAAGTTCTTGTTCCAATTTTCAGGAAGTAATATCACGGAAAGTCGTGCTTGATGAAGGACAAAGGCAAATAGTTGAAGTGGAGCAGGCAGCAATATGGAGATTTCTCTGGTGGTCTGGTGTCTTGTCAGTTCATGTTTTTGTCGACCAGAACAGAACAAATCACACTGTAAAGACTTGAAACATTGCTACTAGTCTTTGAGAAACAGCTAAGATACATTCTCTGATATGTGGCTTCATGCAACAACTATTGGCAGGTAAAGTTCAAGCAAGGAAGAACAGGTTTTATGAAGAAATTTGAAGGTTGCTGGAAAATAGAGCCTCTATTTGTTGACAAGGAAGCATGCCATCCTTTAGACCCATGCACATTAGAAAAGTATGATTCCTGCACCAATGGCACAGGAAGAGTTGGATCTTCAATTACCTTGGATCAGCTTATTGAACCTGCTATGGTACCCCCGCCTCCGTTTTCATGGTATCTGAGAGGGATTACCACGAGGACAACTGAGATGCTGGTCAATGATCTGATAGCGGAAACTGCTCGGCTGCGAGGTTTGGCAAATAATGCTATTGACAAGCAATATGTTGAGGGAAAGTGTGATACTAGTAGAGATCATCTAACAGAAGAGTGCAATGATATTAAGGAAAGATGGCGTCAGAGAAGAAAAACAGGACGGCATGGAAACTCCCTTAGATTAACTGCTCAAGGATAAACTAGGCATTTTCGCTTCTGGACAGGATGCATTTTAGGGCCAATTTACCTGTACTCCAATGGTAGGTGGTTTTCATTGTAGAATTTGATGAATTGCAGGGTATTCATATTGATATTTTGTAGATGGCTAATAACATCATGTGACTAGTTTGTGGACTGTTTCACACGACTCTTTCGTACAGTAATAATGTAAAATGGATGTTCAGCTGTGTACAATTGATGAGGTGAATAATTGCCCAGTTAAAATGTCTGCTACTGAACACTGCTCTTCCATTTCTACCATTTATCTGAAGCACAGTTTTTTTTAACGAACCGGCCAGCGCCAATTTGTTCAAAAGAAAAAATATATGTGCATCAGACTGAAGCAAAATTGAACTTACTTGAACCTCACGACAGTTCAAACATGATAAGTATGCCTGACACAACATTTTTATATGTGACAATATGAAATCACAATTTTGGTACCTCTTTTCACGAAAAAACATATGCTAAATCGGTGACTGAAAACTGAAGCTAGATAGAACAACAGATACCATTTCCTGAGCCTGAAGTCCTGAACCAAACTGACGGCAAACTCAAGTTCAGTTGACAACACAAACCAGTTCATCCTTTCTCCAAAGCTGCAAGCCAAGAAAAGCCCCAAATTCCTTACCTTTCTTGACATGCTCAAGGCAACAGCAAACACCTTCCTTGCATTGCATGAGACTTATGAACCTAAAACTCTACATAGCTTCATGGACAGTTCAAACACCTTCGATCACTCGATCGAGCTCGTCGACCCCAGCCATGTCCGGCCAGCCTCCGCCGCCGCCGTCACCGGCGATGCCGTCGCAGCCGCAGCCGTTTCGCTTCTGGCTCCCGTATAGGAGCAATGTGGCGTCATCCTCTCGGCAGCAACCGCGGCCATCGTCAGGGACGGCGCCGGCGCCGCCGCCACCAACTCCGGCAGATCGTCCGCCGAGAGCGTCACCGGCGCCGGCGCGGGCAATGGGGGAAGATATCTCTGTCCATGGTGAGTCGTCCGATGAATCGGACACGATCCCTGTCCAGAGCGTGGACTCGCCGCGGTGGCGCGGAGCTAGGCGGCGGCCGTCCGTGCCGGACATGGAGCTGACGCTCTCGAGGTCGCCACGCGCCGGCGAGGAACGGACCCCGCGCGCCGGCGGCGAAGGCGGCGAAGGCAACGACACCAAGATCTCCATCTCCGGGTTCCCGAGGTCGCGCCTGTTCGACGGCGCGCGCGCGCCGTACCGGCGGGAGATCGAGGACGGGCTCAAGAGCCTTGCCACCCGCGGCCGCGAGGCGCCGGCGGCGAGCGCGGACGGCGTCCAGGGGTACCGCGTCATCACGCTGGCCGGCCACAACGTCGGCGCGAGCATGGTTCTCGGCGGCGGCGGCGGCGGCGGCGGCGGCAGGGAGCACGGCCCGTCGCCGACAGCCGCCGAGGCGGAGGGCTCGGCGCGGCCTGCGCCGGCGGTGGCCGCGAACGTGAACAGCAACGTGCAGAGCGTGAACAACTCGTCCATGGAGGCGAGCACGTGCAACGCCGGCGACCCCGGCGTGCGCGTCGACATCAAGAACGCGCGCGACGAGCCGGTCCTGGTGGCGCCGCCGAAAAAGCAGCAGGAAGAAGAGGAGCCCAAGGAGCCGGTGCCGGTGCGGAGGCCGCCGATCGCCGTGCCAGCAGCGCCGCAGCCGGAGAACCGCGTGGCGCCGCCGCCGCCGCCGCCGAGGGCGAGGCGGTGCCTGCGCGCGCTGATGATGGAGAGCGGGAGCGACACGGAGGCGGCACCGAAGCCGAAGACGAAGCCAAAGCCGAAGCCGAGCTCGTGCCGGTTCCAGTGCGTCGCGGATCACAAGCCGCCGCCGCCGCCGCCGGCGACGACCAGCAACGGCGGCGGCGGCGGCGGTGGTGGCGACGGGAGGAGCGGAGAAGAAGGCGGGAAAGAGAACACGAGGTAAAAATTGAAATGCGTGCGTAATTTACGAAATTGAAGACAGTGTGTGCTTTGATTTGTAATGGTTTTGTGTAAATTTGAAATGAATTCTTCTGGGACAACGAAATGAAATCGCATTAATAATAAGCTGGTTTGAGATCAGAAGAGCGAGAAATTAAGCTGCATTCGTTTTGTAAAATGCTGCTATATCAATGATTCAACAGCAATGGTTATCTCAATGTCTGACAGGCTAACAGCACTAAGATCAAATGATCATTGATCAATGGTACCTTGTCTATTTCATATCAGAAAGTGAGATACATTTCTGAATAAATATAAGTATGTATCAACTTTTGAGCGCTTCTTTTTCGAACATGGAGATATTCTCCTATTCCTGCAACAATTAAACTGTAAAATATGAAATTCATGTGAAAATTCATCGAAATTTCTAGATTTCAAACAAATGCCTTAGCATTCAGGTGAGAGCAGGAATATGGGAGAGAACAGAAATACAGAAGATCGAGAAAAGAATCAAAAGAAAATATGCGTGGAGATATCCTCCAGCCGAGGCCTTTCAGTCGTTCAAAAGGCATATCCCAGAATAAATTTGTTCGGAAGGGACAATTGCATTTTGTGCCTCCCTGAAGGCCACAAAAACATGCTACGCGAAGCATCAAGGATCTTCTCTACAGACTTGGCCTAGGCTCATGTGTGTGCTTTTGTTAAAGAGACGGAGTAGCATGCCGGTATTGCACATTTGCTGATTTGCACAGTTGCTGTGGTTCATGAGATGAAAAGAAAAGATAACTGAACTGCTCTAACTTACCTACACATCTATATTTTTAATTGAATTCGGTTGGTAAGAACTTCCAGCTTAAAAATAATATGAACGCGGTCAATCTCGATTGAAACATGCAAGTTCACTTCCTCCGCCTGATCACCCGGCGCCATCGCCCGACCTCGCCAGCGCATGAAAAAGGCCAAGAGTGTCAGCAAGGCCCACCATACCCCCCCTCCTCCGCCTTCTTAGCTGTCCTCCTTAAGTCAACAACGCTACCCCCATCTCGTCGTCTTCCTTGTCTTCGGCAACTCCCTCTCCTCCTAACCACTCTTTTTACTTTGCCCTCACCGCTAATACAGGTCCACCGTTTGCCGCACATCACGCGTGGAGGCGGATCTGTAGGGTGGTTCGGGTGGTCCCTGGATCATAAAAAAAATCACAACCAACCCCTCTACTATATATAATTTCAGAAAAAAAAGAAGAAAAGAAACCAAAACAAAGTGCCGCTACGTTTAGGTAATTGCGGCATCGGCACATCGTGTTGGATTGGATGCCACGTCTTCCGCGCCCCGCCCGTGATTCCGCACCGCATCAACCAACAAGTCGACCCGTCGCCGAGTCCGAGACTCCGATCGCCACCTCTCGCCGTCGCTGATTTGACACGCAACCATGCCAGAGTGGGCGAATACCATGCTCCTCTCTCTTCTCATGTGAGGTTGCAACTCATGAACTCAGCAAAGAGGCGGTTGATCTCTTGGCACCGATTTCTATCTCCGCGGTGAGCACTAGGTGCAAGGCCGAAGCAGTGCTGGCAGCACCTACAAGTCTCCAAATCTGCAGGTACAAGCTCCCGTGTTCTCTCTCTCTTTCTCTTTTTCATATCTCCTTTCTACAATCTGCATTGTTCTTGCCTGAAATCCATGTGCTCTGCTGTAATATATGCTTCTACTGTGCAATAGTAATACAACACCGACCAGAACTAATGCCAAAGAGATCATAGATTCAAAGTTGATCTCATGTCGCTGCTAGGTAATTCGGTTCTGTTTTATTAACGTGTGTGTACTGATTCGGTGAAACAACCACCGAGTTGATCTACTGAAATGTAGTGCTTGTTGATCTGCTGCAGTGCAGTGCTAATTGATCTCACCCTTAAAATGAAATTAATTGGTGTCGAAAAAAAGAAATTAATTGTTTATATGTACTTCTATACATTTTGTGAGTCGGACCACCTATACCCTAAATTTTAGATACATCACTAATCACGTTGCTTCGATGACACCTCCTTCTTGTTCCGCCGCCTAACTTCCCCCTCTTCCTCCTCCCCCAACCCCCCTTCCCCCCTAACCCCAACCTAAGATGCTAACCGATCGGTTTGCCACCATCATGCCGAAATCCCCATTATCTCATCGGAGCTAAAGCCAAAATCCCCACTATTCATCTTCCTTTGATCTGGTTTAGTTCCTAAAATTTTTTTTCTCAAAAATATCACATCGAATCTTTGGACACATGCATGGAGCATTAAATATAGATAAAAACAAAAACTAAATTGCACAGTTCGCATGGAAATCACAAGACGAATATTTTGAGCCTAATTAGTCCATGATTAACCATAAGTGCTACAGTAACCCACATGTGCTAATGACGGCTTAATTAAGCTCAAAAGATTCGTCTCGCGGTTTCCAAGCGAGTTATGAAATTATATTTTTCATTCTATCCAAAAACCATTTCCAACATCCAGTCAAATATGCGATGTAACACACAAAAATTTTCTTTTCGCGAATTAAATACACATTTCTTTTTTTTTTTCAAAAAAGAACATGAAGAAAAGGCACAATGATGACAACAGACAGTTTCCCACAGAAGATCCAAGACGCCTGCCACTCTAAACTAGGCAAAACACCTCCGAAGTCTCAGCTCAGCTTCTCCCCTCCTCAACCAAGCAGAAATGGCGGCTTCTTGCGCGCTCACCCTCCCCTCCGCCATCTCCGTCTCTGTCTCCGTCTCCTCCAATTCACCTCGACGGTTCAGGTACTAATCTCTGTGCCCCTGACCTGTACTGGTTCAAGTCGATCTCCTGTGCGTGCGAAGGATTGATCCCTGGTGGTGGTGTCTGTGTTTTTTGGGGGGCGTTCTTGGATGGATGCAGGCGCTCTAGGAGGGTGGTGGCCATGGCCAGCGTGGGGCAGAAGGTGTACGCGCCCGGCGTGGCGGTCTCCGAGGGCAATGGCGGGCTGCCAAAGATCGACCTCAAGTCCCCGCATGGGAGGTAATTCTAGGTTTGGTTGATTTGGGGTTTCTTTTTATTTTAAGGTGAAATATTTGGGGTGGATAACTTGTGTGAGATTCTTGGAGGGATTGTGGTAGTTTGGTTTGTGAGTAGGAATGTTAGATGTATGGTGCCAAAGGTGGAGGAACTTGGTTGTGTTTGTTTGCTTGTTTTTTTTTTTTTTTTTTGTAGAGATGGGATAAATATTTGTACTGCATTGAACTGGGTAATGCAGCATGAGTAGCAGAAGAACTGATTCGGAGAATAATTTACCATTCGGTTGCTTTTAGTTTCTGGATATTTCTCTGGCCAGTACTCAAAAACTGGAAAAGAAATGAATTTTTAGAATGGTGATTTTGTATGGTTTGGTCTTCTTATTTTCTACAACGTACTTGATTGTTGGACTGTGAAGATTACGGAAGTGGTTTCACAAGGCTGGAATGGAAGGTTCATTGTTCAGAATTTGGCGCTGTGAGATGGAACTGTGCACTACATAATATAATCATACAGTTGCTATGATACTGAAAAGCTTTGAGATATACTGAGAGAACAAAATGGTTTCAGTGAAAAATGAAGCAGGAGCATTTGCCACGTGTTTTCAAAAACACACAGATGTCACAATGATTTATTGTGCAACTTGCCATTCAAGTCCAATCTTTTCCATTGTGCTGTGTGATTAGTCAGCTAGTACAAAATAACACTACGAGCCATGAATTGCTAGAGTTGGATAATCTTGAAATAATATTGAATGGTCCAGATTTGTATAATTTGGGATCTTGGGTACCTCCTAACTTACCCTTCAAAGTTTCAAGTTACTATCGGTTTCTTTCAATTGACACAACAAAGGTGTGTTATCAGGTTTTGTACTTTTTTTCAATTTGTTAATTATGTGCTCATTTTATGCATGAAGTGAGGCTGAAATTTATCTATTTGGAGCCTGCGTAACATCTTGGAAAGTCCCCAGTGGAAAAGACCTCCTATTTGTCAGACCAGATGCGGTGTTCAACGGCCAGAAACCCATCAGGTTGGCGCTGAAGTTTAGGATAAATTATCTGAAGCTTAACAAATGTCATGCTAACCATCTTCTTTCCTGAAACCAGTGGTGGAATCCCACATTGCTTCCCCCAATTCGGTCCTGGTACCATGCAGCAGGTTTGTGAAACCCATTTTCTGTTGTAGCCATTTAGATAGGAAAGAAACTAATATATTTAAATTCTCATCAGAGCATATGACTAAACAGACTTTGATACAGTCAAGTGAATGATATCATATTTCAGATTGATGTCACATTTAATATATACATCAATCTGGAAAATGCATGTAGTAACATGTTAAGCAGGGAACCCAAGTTAGCCTGAAATGAACTACCTGCAGCCTGCCAACATTATACATTCCTTTACCTTCTGTGCAGTACGTGATACAACTAATCGTTCTTAAATAGTTTTACATGTACCATGGTGTTGACAAGTTAATGTTCATGTACATTCATCAGCAACTGCAGAAAACACGATTTATGCTGAACCCTTTTTTAAGTAAATCTAATTTCACTTTTTTTTACAGCATGGATTTGCAAGGAACATGAATTGGTCTATCACTGATTCAGAAGCTAATGAAGGAGATCCAGCTGTAACTTTGGAACTAAAAGATGACTCTTATAGCCGTTCAATGTGGGATTTTAGCTTCCAAGCTCTGTATAAGGTTAAACCCTGCTATCGTACTATGTGCCATTGTGCCTTGCTGCACTCTGCAAAACCAGAATCTTATCAGCACTATCCAAAAACTGCAATTCACCAATTCCAATTAATTATCTTGCAGGTTGCATTGCACTCTACAAGCCTGTCAACAACACTGAAAATAACAAATACAGACGATAAGCCTTTTTCATTTAACTCGGCACTCCACAGCTATTTCAGTGTAAGTAGCAGTTTCATGAAGGAAACAAAATCTTATTTGTTTATCAAGCACATCATTATTAATTCTCAAGTATTTGGTTGTACAGGCTTCAATTTCTGGTGTTTCAGTGAAAGGTCTCAAAGGTTGTAAGACCCTAAATAAGGATCCCGATCCCAAAAACCCTTTGGAGGGGAAAGAAGAGAGGTCAGTTTTGCATTTTGATCAGTCTTTTGTTATTTTTGTTTATATTTTGTTCTTCTATACTACAGTAACATTTGAAACTCCCATGGTCCCACATTTTTCCAATAATATATTTCTTTCCCTGAATTGTTCACTGCATTGGTGGAAAATAAGAGCTATATTCTGAATTTCTGATTCCTCCTAGGTGTGTTCATTCTTGGTTTTAACGGGTTGGGAAAAAAATAACATGACGTCATTTATTTGTTCCTAGATCACATATGTCCAATCTTGGAGGGTTATGAAAAAAATTTAATGAGCAACCCTAGTTCTTGCCTTGTCTTATCTTACTGGATTTGTCACTTTTCTAGACGGTGGGCACTGTTAGCAGCTTGGTGCTGTTGGCCATTGCATTGCTTGTCTTTTTATCCTACCCTGTGTTGAACTTGGGAACAAATGTGCACTCCTTTTAATTGTGTAATATGTTGAACACAACGTAAATATTAGATATACTTCTCAGCCACTTCATATGATACAGGGAAGAGGTGACTTTTCCAGGATTTGTCGATTGCATTTACCTTGGTGCACCGAGTGAGCTCACCCTGGACAATGGATTGGGTGACAAAATTGTGATATCAAATGCGAAGTATGCTAAATTGATTTGTTACAAGAGGAATCGTATAAACTCTGTAAAGATTGCATCATAAAATTGTGGTTAATTTTTAAATACAGTTGGTCAGATGCAGTGCTGTGGAATCCTCACTTGCAGATGGAGGCTTGTTACAAAGATTTTGTCTGTGTTGAAAATGCAAAGGTATGACAACTAATACAACAAATGCACATGAAGTTTCGCTAACAATTATAGACACCACAAATGAAAATTTAAGAAAAACATGTTGATAATTAGTATGTAGTTTTCTCTAATGATATGATCAATTGCTGATGCAGATTGAAACATTACAACTGGGGCCGAACCAATCTTGGGTGGCAGAGCAGAAAATTGAACTGATATGAATTATGAAGCTAAACTGGGCAAAACAATAGAGTACAACAATTATGTTGCAAAAATGAACTTCTCTTTTTCTTTACATCATGAAATGCAAATGTCATAGCCCCTAATGTATCATCTAGTAGGTGGCATAAGTCATATTTTTGAAATTGTTTTATGTAATAAATAAGTAAATAAATAAATTCAGTTCTCCCATTATTTCATCCTCTCCTTTTTATTAATGAGCGGCCTGCTAAGTTTTAAGTTTCAAGCTCTGTTTTTCGCATATCTTGCAGTATGCAATTGGAGGCTTTGAGCTTCAGATCATCTTTTTTTTTTCCATAAGATGACTGTTGAAGTGCACTGGAATTAGCATTTTGTTCATGTTTTGTCGTAGGGAAGTGTTGCAATCAGCTTATTCTTCTCTGTTCCAGTTTTCCTGGATGTCCATCTTTAAGTCCGTGAAATCTTTTATAAGTTCATTACAAACACTCTTGCATGCAGTGTGGTTTTAAAGTGAATCACAGCTCATAAGATCCTTAGGTTCATAGATTCAGCCAGTGCAAAATTGTTTTCTGCACTCTCATAATCATATATCAAGACTCCAAATGAAAATTAATAATGATATCCAGCCCATTTGGAAATAAAACTAGTTGTGTTTCTGTTAATTTCCTTTCTGAATGCTGGTTCATATTCTTCATACGATTCATTACCAGGAGATACTTACTGCAAGCATGGACATGCTAATCATACAATATTTATTCAGCAAAATGTATGTTACACTTACATCCCAGCTCTCAAACAGCCAAAAGTGAGAGCAACGAGCGATAAAAAGGGGAAAAAAAAGTAATTTACAAAGGCAAAGTGAAGCAAGATTACAATTCAGGGGATTCAGTAGCTAAGCCGTAAGCTAGTTTCGCTGAGTCAAGTGTATTCGCAAGAAGCATCGCAATGGTCACCGGTCCCACACCACCAGGAACTGGAGTTATAGCAGAGGCCAACTTCACAGCTTCTTCGAAGCAGACATCTCCAGTTAATCGATAGCCGTAATCACTGGTTGGATCCTATGAAAGAGTATCATGAGTACTAAATGGGCAGAAATAAGTAGTGTAAAAAAAAAGGGGAAAGTGCATTGATGCACAAATCCAGAACTGCACTCATGAAAAAAGTTCAGTAGGAGGCATGGTTAGCTGTCTATATCAATTCACATTCAGGACATATCATAGGTAGAGACAAATTCATACATAGAATACCAACTAAACCGGAAGGGTTCAACAAGATGCTATTAAAAATGGATGTGCTAAATAATAACACCAATAATGCAGTAAGCCAGTAATGTTGTAAATCAAGCATTTCTGTTCTCGGCCCGAACTACTATAAACAACATTTCCTTTACCTCAATTGGGTTTGTTCCAACATCGATCACAACTGCACCTTTCTTCAACCAGCTTCCTCTTACAAGATTGGCCACTCCAGCAGCTGAGATCACAATATCAGATTGACGGGTAATCTCTTCTGGATTTGTTGTGAAAGCATGGATAATACTAACAGTGGCATGGTGTCTCTGGGAGAAAAAAAATCAAAAATACTATTAGTTTGTCACAATACTGGCCTTGTAATAATGAAGAATAATCAAGGTAATAGCTTGGCTTTACCTGTAAAAGTAAAGAAGTGGGCAACCCAACAACTTTGCTTCTCCCAATCACAGTGACATGTTTCCCCATGAGTTCAATCCCAGACTGGAGCAATAACTCAAGGCAAGCCTTTGCAGCACAGGGCACAAATAAAGGCTTCCGGCTTCTGAGGGCAAGATTACCAACATTCAATGGATGGAAACCATCAACATCCTTCTCTAGGCTAATAGCGCTCAGAATCCTTTCTTCATCCATATGCTGATTTAGCCAAAAACTAGCATGTTAAATAGCTAGCTTGATGTTCATTATGTCAATATTGAAAATGAAAAAGGCAAAGCTTGGATGTAAAGTAAACTGAATCTTAACAAAACATACTAAAATGAAAACAAAATAAAGGATAGCTGAAGTTGGCTGTCTATTACAATGACAACAAAAGTAGTTTGCATTAGTCATCGAACAAAACAATCATCTAATTGGTGCAAATGAAAGGTTTTCATAATATAAATCTACAAACTTAATCCAACTTCCTGCAGCTGCAACACTAGAACACTAGACAGTAATTACCTGTGGTAGAGGTAGTTGCACAAGAATGCCATGAACAGATGGATCTTCATTGAATCTTGACACAGAATCCACCACTACGTCTTCCGTACAGTTCCCAGGCAACTCCGCCAACAAGGACTTTATTCCAACCTCCTCACAGCCCTTAATTTTGTATCGCACGTATGACTCAGAGTCCCTTCTATCGCCGACCAATACAACAGCTAGGCCAGGCACATGCCCCACTGCATTTTTCATTTGACGAACTTCTTCAGCGATCTGAAACCTTATGTCTTCCGCGACAGACTTGCCATCAATAATGGTCGCAGTGGAGTCATAATCAACTACAACAAAGACAAAAGCACAAGTACAGAACATCAAATCATTAACATAAGAAGCTAAACGACAATAACATAAGGCTCCCTGTATGACCAATCAATAGTGAAGAACTGAAGCTTCACAGTCTTTTCATGGAAATGGAAGCGTCCACAAGCATGAAGGGTATCAACCTAGAAATTTCCCTACAACCTTTGCACCAACTAAACCAAAGATTATTGCAGCCGCCAAATAAAACTACTCTATACTCTACAGCATGGTTTCAGGCTTTCAGCTTGGCACAAGTAAATCTATAATTTTTTTCCCCACTGCACCTTTCCATTTTTCAGCCTTACACTAGCATTCATTCCATTTGAATTAACATTCTGTTCTACCAATAGCTCCATTCTCGGATGTCATCATTCATTAGCAACAACAGCAAGTCTTTCGACACTAAACTGCTACAGGATCTGGAGGTGGGTTCAGCACCACTAAGCTGCTAATCTCCAAGTGGGTTCTGCACCAATCAAGCGAGAACCACTGAATTTAAGTATCCGCAGCACGCTCTCAAAACCCATGTACTAAACCCCAAAACCATCCGAATACTTCGAATGGCATCTCCCGGCGAAACCACTGGTCGACGAAGCGCACGCCTAGCAAAAGCTTCACATCAGCAAGCCCGCCGGTTACCTCCGGCGCCGCTCGGGGGAGACGGCCGCGCCGCGGCGCGCGGGGGCGAGTCCCAGGTGTCGGGGATGTCCGGCCCGAGAAGGCGGCTGCTGCTGCTCCTCCTCCTCCGCCTCCTCCGGGTCCTCCCCTTCTCCTCCTCCGCCGCCGGAGCAGCAGCCTCGTGGAGCCCCGCGCGGGCCGCGCGAGGGAGGAGGAACGCCAGCGGGCCCGCAGCGGGGCGCCGGCGAGTGGCCGCGAGCAGGGCCACGGCGGCGGCGGCGGCGGCGCCGCCCATCTCCGTCGAAGCGGCGGCGAGCGCAACGTGTGTGAACTCGGAAGCGATGTGGATGTGTGGATGGAGGATTTGGGCCTTTTGGGCCCTCGACAAAAAGAGATATTTTTGTCATGATTGTTTTCCCTTTTCTTTTCTTTTTGAAACTTTTTTTGTCACATTTTTGGGCCACAGGTTTGAGTTTTTGATGCATTTTTTCTGAAAAAAAAAAGATCTAAAGTAGCAGGAAGATACTGTGCTTGTGGAAGATGCTGTTTCTGATGTCATTGTCGGGGTATATTCTGATGAAATCTTTGCCTGATACTTCACAACAATCCATCGAAATCGTTGTCGATGTATTTATTTTGAATGAAAAATCCTTGCTAAGAAAATAGAGAACACTGGATTGAATTGTAAATTTAAAATTATGTTTTCTTAAAAGGTTTTGAAATTAAATTAACTCGAAAACCACCATATACTTTATGCTCGGACCAAAAGAAAAACCAAGGGGTAATATGTTTGGTGAATGTCCACCATGTCAACCATGAGTCATCTTTTGCGTTTCAACTTACTAGTCACAATCAAAATTCAAAATTTTACAGTTAGTTGATTTTAATGTTTCTTTATTTTAATTTAATTTCTAAAACACAAATATAAAAAGTTTTATGCACATTTTTTTCCCGCCAATAAGCATAACGGCTTATGGGCAAAACGATGGAACTGAAGTCATGTACAACACTAATGTGACCAGTTGAGGTATTTTGTTGTAAATCATGATTCATTGATTTGAAGTAATTTATTTTAGCACTTTATTTTGATGTTGTTTTCTGTATGGAAAATGAGATAATTCAACATCTTTTTATGGATTGTCATTATGCAAAGTTTATATGGAGAGCAGTTCAGTTATCTTTTATACCTTCCTATTAGCATATCTCATATTTTTTATGGGCGGCTGTTGGGGTGAACAATAAAAAGAGTAAACTTATATTAGTGGGAGCTTATGCAATATGTTGGGCTTTGTGGTTGAGTAGGAATGATATGGTTTCTGACAAATCATCATCTATTTTATATATGCAGATAATTTTCAGGGCAACATATTTGCTCTGGTTTTGGGCACAACTACAAAGGTGTGATGAACTCGAAGAGTTCTTAAAAGTTGCACGTCGTAAGCTTGAGACAACGGTTATGCAACTTTTGCCAATTATAGATGGAGATTCACAAATAGACTTCAATAATGTGTTCTCCTTATCTTATATTGGTTAATTTTTATATTTGTGTGGTGTTTTTTTTTCTTATTTGAACTAAACTCATTTTAGAGTGTTAGATTGTAACAATAAACTGTAACTCTCCTGAGCAGAGGCCAGGACGTTATATTCCATTATTAAAAAAAAATAGATCTCACCCTCTTTAGAATTTATTATAACCCCGTCACGATTGGATAGAAATTAAGTAATCCGGCTAGGGCTGAGAATACTCGTTAGTACAAACAGATCTCAAAGATGGTCTGAATTTTAGTGAGTACTCTACATGATACATTCAAAGTCGCTCGTAAGAATAAGGTGCGCGCGTGTTACGAGAGTTTCTTTTTCTCGCCTGTCTTTGGAAAAAAAAAGTTCACCCGTATATATTCTTTCCGACCTGGGCCCTGCAAAATTCCTTCGAAGCCCACACAACAAAATACGACAACAGTCGGGCCACTCCGCGAGTTGGGCCTAGCAGCCCAACCTCTTCTCCGCCCCACTGCCGGTCGCCGCCTCTCGCCGTCTCGCGTCGCGCGAGCTCTGCCTCTGCTCCGGCCTCCACGCCCCATCGCCGCCGCCGCCGCCGCCAGCCTCGTTTTGCGCCACCGCCATCAAGAATCGGTGACACAGATGCTGTTTCCTACGGAGTTTGAACTTTGAAGGCGCCAGCCAACCATGCTCCCTTCCCGCCACCTCCGTTCCGCGGCGCGGCAGCGGAGCCACCGGCCGCCGCCGGCCGCCGGGGACGCCTCCTCCTCTTCCTCCTCGGGGAGGCTCGAACCGGAGGTGATCCGGAGCAACAAGGCCATCACGGCGCACATGCGCGCCGGCCGCGTCGCCGACGCCGAGCGCCTCTTCGCCGCGATGCCCCGGCGCTCCACCTCCACCTACAACGCCATGCTCGCCGGGTACTCCGCCAACGGCCGCCTCCCGCTGGCGGCGTCCCTCTTCCGCGCCATCCCGCGGCCGGACAACTACTCCTACAACACCCTCCTCCACGCGCTGGCGGTCTCCTCGTCCCTCGCCGACGCGCGCGGCCTGTTCGACGAAATGCCCGTGAGGGATTCGGTCACCTACAACGTCATGATCTCGTCCCATGCCAACCACGGACTTGTGTCGCTCGCGCGGCACTACTTTGATCTTGCCCCCGAGAAGGACGCCGTCTCATGGAATGGGATGCTTGCGGCGTATGTCAGGAATGGACGGGTTGAGGAAGCGAGGGGTTTGTTTAATTCGAGGACAGAGTGGGATGTGATCTCTTGGAACGCACTGATGTCGGGGTATGTGCAGTGGGGTAAGATGTCAGAGGCAAGGGAGCTATTTGATAGGATGCCTGGGAGGGATGTCGTATCCTGGAATATTATGGTCTCGGGTTATGCAAGAAGAGGGGATATGGTGGAGGCAAGAAGGTTGTTTGATGCAGCTCCAGTGAGGGATGTATTCACATGGACAGCAGTCGTGTCTGGGTATGCACAAAATGGAATGTTGGAGGAGGCCAGGAGGGTGTTTGATGCCATGCCAGAGAGGAATGCGGTGTCTTGGAATGCAATGGTGGCAGCCTACATTCAGCGGAGGATGATGGATGAAGCAAAGGAACTGTTCAATATGATGCCCTGCAGGAATGTGGCATCATGGAACACAATGTTGACAGGGTATGCTCAGGCAGGGATGTTGGAGGAGGCAAAGGCAGTTTTTGACACGATGCCACAAAAAGATGCAGTCTCCTGGGCTGCAATGCTGGCTGCATATTCTCAGGGTGGTTGCAGTGAGGAAACCCTGCAGTTGTTCATTGAAATGGGGAGGTGTGGTGAATGGGTGAATAGATCAGCATTCGCTTGTGTGTTGAGCACATGTGCTGACATTGCTGCACTTGAATGTGGAATGCAGCTTCATGGGAGATTGATTAGGGCTGGTTATGGGGTGGGATGTTTTGTTGGGAATGCACTCCTAGCTATGTACTTTAAATGTGGGAACATGGAGGATGCTCGGAATGCATTCGAGGAAATGGAAGAGAGGGATGTAGTTTCATGGAATACTATGATTGCTGGTTACGCACGACATGGTTTTGGAAAGGAAGCACTTGAAATTTTTGACATGATGAGGACAACATCCACCAAGCCAGATGATATTACTCTGGTAAGAATTTGTTTCTTGGAACATACCACATACAATTAGTGCTAGCACACCAATTTGCCGATAACTAAATTCAGTTTATCTCCTATAAATGGTTGATTAAATCTGTAGAAAGTTCACCCACTTTCGATAAAATATTTATTATAAATGCTAACAGTGAGAACTGTCCCAGTTTAGTAAAAAGCAATAGTAAAAAGAACTCCCTGGTTTTTTAAAGGTAATGGAGATTTCATTAAGCAAATGAAAGCATCTAGCTTCTGCACAAAAGTGTACTCAGCCAGCCTGTTTTCTTTTTTAGTAGTAATAAACAAGAAGATTTGTTCCCTTATTCTATACTCATGGTTTTGGGGTAACTTTAACTTTCAGGTCGGAGTGCTTGCAGCATGTAGTCATTCTGGCTTAGTTGAGAAAGGCATTTCATACTTCTACTCAATGCACCACGATTTTGGTGTGACGGCAAAACCTGAGCACTATACGTGTATGATAGACCTCCTTGGGCGCGCTGGACGATTGGCTGAAGCACATGATCTTATGAAGGACATGCCATTTGAGCCAGATTCTACCATGTGGGGTGCATTGCTCGGTGCAAGTCGGATCCACCGCAATCCTGAACTTGGCAGGAGTGCAGCTGAGAAAATATTTGAGTTGGAGCCTGAAAATGCTGGCATGTATGTCTTGCTTTCAAATATATATGCATCTTCTGGGAAATGGCGAGATGCGAGGAAAATGAGAGTTATGATGGAAGAGCGGGGTGTGAAGAAGGTGCCTGGATTCAGTTGGATTGAAGTACAGAATAAAGTCCACACTTTCTCAGCTGGTGATTGTGTGCATCCTGAGAAAGAAAAGATATATGCTTTCTTAGAAGACCTTGACATGAGAATGAAGAAAGCTGGCTATGTATCAGCTACAGATATGGTTTTGCATGATGTGGAGGAGGAAGAGAAGGAGCACATGCTCAAGTACCACAGCGAAAAGCTTGCTGTTGCTTATGGAATTTTAAATATTCCTCCTGGGAGGCCTATCCGAGTTATAAAAAACCTCAGGGTATGTGGAGACTGTCACAATGCTTTCAAGTATATCTCCGCAATTGAGGGCAGGCTGATCCTATTGCGTGATTCTAACCGATTTCACCACTTTAGAGGAGGGTCTTGTTCCTGTGGGGATTACTGGTGATGGCTAATTAGATTTCTTGTGCAATGAATCCCTGAAGAATCTGTAGTTGACAACGCAACAAAGATGGTGCAATGCAGGCTACAAACAAAATATTATAGGCATCTTGATGACTCACTCGGTCCACAGGCCTTCTACTAGGCCACCATTTCAAAAAGATTACATGAGTTGGTGATTGTTTCCATGCTGAGTGAAGAGGTGATACCTAGACAAAAGCATAATATACAAGATCATAATTCCAGTGTCAAGTGATAGACTGATGGTAACTCAGGTGAACAGTCTCAAAGGACAAGTTTGCTGAGGCAGGTTTAGATTGGAAGAAGTTTGGACAACAAGGTGTTAATCCTCCCCTGTTAGTGACATCTTAAGGTACCAATTCAACTGAGATATACTGAAAATCAAGGGGTCATAGTTGTTTTTAGGCCATCAACAAATTATCTTTGTTTCTATGTGACCAGGTATGCTATTAAAATCAAGGATGGTGTAAATATTCAGTGCAAGTATTCTCTGTTGAACTCAAATATTGGTGTTACAATGGATATTTGTTATTCCATTTCTGCGAAAATAAGCATGCCAGAGAAATGGAGCGCCTGACGGTCTTACACGAGCAGTTGGGGTTCACATAAAGATTCATTGTCAGTGCAGCTAAACTTTGCATGATATATCAGATGCGGCTATGAAATCGTGAGAAGAGATAATCTGTGGTATCTGATCAGGTTGCTATCATGGTGCAGCAGGCAAGTAGCACAGTGGCTGATTATGTGTTGCCAAGCTGAAGATTCTGTTCAGTGAAGTCTAACAGTGGAGCTGTGGACGCATCTTCATATCTGTGGCTCCCTCTGGTGTTGTAAGTTGTACATTTCCTTACAATACTTCATCAAACTAGTTGCTTAATTCATATACTTTGCCTGAAAGTTAACATGGAAAGCCTAAGGAGGATATGTGTTGGGTCATGGCAGCCTGATAAAACAAAACAATTTCAACCAATGGTTTTGAATCGTGATTTATACGGTTCCAGGGCAGTGTGCCCAAAAGGCGGTTAGTAACATCACAACAGCCCTCAATTTTTCATTCCACAGCCACCACGATTTTATATACACATGAGCTTATCATTTGACCACCAAAAAACATGATAGCGCCATGACAGCCCCTGATTTGAAAAACACTGGTTGCAAGTTTCAACATCTTGTTTAGAAAGCTGTGTGCCAAACATGCTTCTTAGTTCTCAGCCACACCGCAAGCAGAAACGTGCACGCACGCACGCACGCACTGGTAACAGAGTGTCATCATCTTGTCCCAAAAATCACTACGTATGCGTTTCTGAACTTTGACTGATCAAGGTTCATTCACTTTGGGCAGAGCCTGGATTGAGCTGATGCTGAAAGTATCTGGCAGAACATTCCCAGCCTGAACCGGAACTGAAGAAAAGGATCAGAGGAACATGGCCTGCCGGAATCCGGCACCGATCGCCACCCATGTGAAGGAGAAGAAGGCTGGCCGCATCGCCGGGTGGACGCATGTCGCCGCAGCCCGCATGTGTTGGGTGCAGGGATTTAGCTTTGCGAAGATTTCAAAGTAAAAACCGCTCCTCACCGGTTTTCCAAAATCTGATAAAAAACCCGGTAAAAACCAATGACTTTGGGTTGACGCCCGTGCGAAAACCGTCTAATACCAATCGGTTTTCATAAACCAAGACCTAGCGGTTTCACGAAAGTCGATCGGTTCTCGCTAAATTCCATCGGTTGGGTGCATAAAAAAAAAACAGAAGGGCGAAACAGCCATCAGCAGGGAAACCTGATTAACTGACAGCTCCACCCCGTTTTGCTATTCCAGGGGGGCCCTCTGCAACAACACAAGGTTTGCCTCCACCTCTCTTGCATTTCCTATTCTCTCAAATACTAGGACGCGCACCCCGCGCGCCATTCCGCTTCCCCCTCCCCTCCTCTCGCTCTCGCTTGCGGCCGCGCGCGCGGGCCCCCGGTGGTGCGAGCAGTCGTCGTCGTCGTCGTCATCGTCTTCGTCCGGGGCCAGGTGGTCGGGGGGCGAGGCGATGGCGTACAGGGCGGAGGACGACTACGACTACCTGTTCAAGGTGGTGCTCATCGGCGACTCCGGGGTCGGCAAATCCAACCTCCTCTCCCGCTTCACCCGCAACGAGTTCAGCCTCGAGTCCAAGTCCACCATCGGCGTCGAGTTCGCCACCAGGAGCATCCGCGTCGACGACAAGGTCGTCAAGGCCCAGATCTGGGACACCGCCGGCCAGGAGAGGTGAGGTCCCTTCTCTCTCTCTCTTTTCTTGCTCGCGTTCTCTTGTTGTGCCGCACGCCCTCTGTTCTGATCGGTTCATCATCCAGCATTGCTTGGTTCGGCACTGCGGCCAATTAGGTTGATCACGCTTCGTTTCTTCAGGAAATTCAATGTTTTTCTGTAGGATTCAGTCTGCGCGATTTGTGCGTATAGTTTAGGAAATGCGCAGGTTGTTTCTGGTGCGCTCTCTTCTGTGTGGTTCAGGATTAGTAGGCACAGCATATTGGTTTAAGATTGATATTTCTTTGTTTTTTTTTTTTGCCCCATGCATTGGATATGTGGATAGTTTACATCACGTCGTGTACAGTCAGCAAAACTATAGCCTTTCTTAATTATGCTCTCTCTCATGCGTCATTATTTTTGTTTTTCATGTAAAATCCTTTATTTACCTATCTTTGAATGTGAGCCAGTGGGGCATGCTATCTTCCTGTGAAGGAAACGTTGCTCTATGACTTATGTTCTGAGAGAGATTCTAGTTTATTTTCTAGCATCGCTATCGTGCAGTTTTATTCTACACCTGCATTGGTGATGTCCTGTTGTTGCCATGTACTATTTGGCATTTGATAATTCGTATGGACATTTACATGATTTCAATCCAACTGTCTCCTCACATTATTTAGAAAATTGTTCTGCTGCAACATCTGTTTGTCTTATGGCTCTAAATAAAACCTTTTCTGGCAGTTGACCATCCATCCTTCAAATAGTAAATACCATGAGTGGTCGTCCAATAACTATAGAATCACTAGGAATATTCTTTTTTTATTTACAGCTCTATGCTGATGTTTACAGTATTACTCTTGTGCCATTTACAATCAAATTGCTGTCCCTAGTGTCTCAAAGAACTTCATGCATTTGATATGGAGTATTAGGCATATCCTTTGGGATCAATTTCTTTGGAATCTGCTCCATGTATTTGATGACATTTCAGTCATGTTGATAGTTTCAGTGCTCGGTATGGACTTTGAAGTTCCTTCTGTACTCTCTCAACAGGTATCGGGCGATTACAAGTGCATACTATCGAGGGGCAGTTGGCGCACTTGTCGTGTACGACGTGACACGCCATGTCACCTTTGAGAATGTAGAGAGGTGGTTGAAGGAGCTCCGGGATCACACAGATGCAAACATCGTCATCATGCTTGTTGGCAACAAGGCTGATCTGCGTCACCTTAGGGCCGTATCGGTTGAGGACGCCAAGGGCTTCGCCGAGAGGGAAAGCACCTTCTTCATGGAAACGTCCGCGTTGGAGTCCATGAATGTAGAAAGTGCCTTCACTGAGGTGCTAACTCAGATCTATCGCGTGGTCAGCAAGAAGGCCCTCGACATCGGCGATGACCCTGCTGCTCCACCAAGAGGACAGACCATCAATGTTGGTGGCAAAGATGATGTTTCTGCTGTGAAAAAGTCTGGATGCTGTTCATCCTAAATCCATTATGTCCATGAGAAGGAACCATATGCTCACCTGATTATATCATGAGTAATTAAAAGGATAACTTTCTTTTGCTGCCTAACCTGGTTGCCTGTGAGATTTTAGTGTTACATCAAGAAGGTTGGGGCTGTTAAACCCAGGTTGGGAAAAAGCTAACTTTGAAGTGTCAGTGGTTTTATGGTTTGCATTTGTGGTTTCTTCATTGGTGTACTATTGTTCCATGTAAATTGACAGGATTTGAGATCCTCCCCACCTTTCACTGCATAACATATCCCAGTAAAATGTTGTTGTAATTGGATATCAGACTGTAGCTGATTGGCAGCAAGAGTTCTAATTAGAAGGGCTATTATATTCTGTAACTCCTACTCACAAATGTACAAAAGTTTGCATCCTTGAACTTCTTACCAGCCTGTATATTACGGTACTGAAAGATTGTTTAAGATAATTTCTTCTATTTCAGTAGATGTGCGTAAAGGCGTAAACTATAGCATTTATCATTTTCTGCATATCTCTGTTTTGCAATATTACTACAGATTGTGACTGACCTACAAGATGTTTCCTTTCATTTTATCAGTATTAATAGAGTGAAATGATCAGCTTTGAATGTCTGTTGTGTAGGAGTACTACATTCTGGCAGATATGAACAGGTTGCACTGGTTAAATGACCTTTCGAGAGGGCAGAAGAAGAGGGTATCAAGGTCTAGTTGCAGTGGTTAAATGACCTTTCATGAGCAGTGGTTGCAAGGTAGCCTTAATACAATTCAAAGGACAGCAACATTGGTTAAAGCAAGTTCAATTTAGTGGAATATGGTTGGTCCGGTGATTGCCCATGTTCTGTAGTTACATTGCCAAGTGTAAGGTAGGATGCAATGCAATGGTTATGGCATGACAAACCTAACTGCATTGCTTTAGCAAAAATGATGAATTCCTGATGGCCATGCCTGGCGCCATGATCCTGTTAAAGAAGTAACCTATCTCCATTTTGTGAATACCGTTGCATTTTTTTTGACCGATTTAAGCAGCACTGATCTGACATCATGTTATCAGCCAATTTCTGAAGCCATACATTTTTCTGTAGCAAAATTTGCATTTTTTAGAAGCACAGATCTTGAGTTCTTTGACATTAAGGACTTGTTCACATTGTTACCACTTTCAACCATAGTAAATTTTGGTATTATCAAATTTTAGTACTGCTACCTTGCCAATGCTAACAAACCAAACAAATCCTTGCCAATGCTACCTTACCAAACTTTGGTAATTATAAAAGTTCCCACTCTTAAAAATTCTATCAAATTTTGATAAGCATTCAAACTAAACACAATCAACGATACCAAAATTTGGTAGCAGTAATGCCAAAATGTGCTACCAAATTTTAAGCAAAGCCAGTGAGAATTCGGTGCTTCCGAAGAAAATGCAATTTAATTCTTCCATGGTCATTCAGCTCCACGCAATTCTCAGCTACAACGAAAATCACCAAACAAAAAAGAAAAATCTCCACACGATTTTCAGCTAAAACGAAAATCACAAAAAAAAAATTGTAAGATGAGTCATGGAAACTATTTCTCACTATCAGCAAAGAAATGTAGCCGTGGAGAACGCCACCGTGTTGCCATTGCCTGCTCTGCCTCCCCTTGCCACGGCTGATCTCGCGGCGGCCACCGGCGCCGTCGCCGGCGACGCGTCCGTGCTCCTCGCCGTGAACCGGTGGTGGTGCAGCGGCATGGAGTTGGCGTCGAGGCGGTGGAGCGCGGCGACGGTGAGCACGGAGCAGGCGAGCATCGGGACGGGGCCGAACACCCACATGAGCAGCGCCGTGGCGAGGTAGAGCGCGCGGAGCCCCGCCGCCCAGAAGTTGCCGCCGCGGACCACGGCGCGCTGCGCGTCGCCCACCGGCGGCGCCGCGTCGCCGGCGAGCGCGCTCATGAGGAAGCTCGCGTGCACGAAGTACCGCGCCGACTGGATGAAGCAGGTGAAGGAGGCGAGGAAGCAGGCGAGGAGCGCGACGCACTTCACCGTCGCCGTCGCGTGGCTGCCGTCGCCGTAGCCGAGGACGACGACGCCCGCGGCGCCCGGCGCCGGCGAGCTGCTCACCCACGCGCCGATCAGCGAGCCCAGCGCGATGCACAGCGACGCCAGCGTCGTCGCCGCCGAGATGTTGTCCGAGATCACGCCCAGCGCCAGCGCCGACTCCTCCGGCGCCGCCGCCTGCAAGAAACCACTAGAATCTTTCGTCACCATTGATCAGTTCTTGAACAAACAAATTGAATTGATCGAACAAGATGATGAACCTGCAGCATGCGCTCCACCCAGGCGAGCTTGTTGTGATTCTCGTAGCCGATCACGGTGGTGTGCGGGTGGCGGAGAATCCGGTGGAGGAGCATGAGGTGGTAGCCGACCATGATCGCCAGCCCGCATGGGACGAGCACCAAATCCATGGAGCTCTTGTCAACAAGCATCATGAACTGACTACCTCAATTTCTGTCTCTCAATTTCTCAACCTATATATCAATTAACCTCTACCTAGCTAGCTTAGCTCTATAGCTAATTTTTAGTTGCTGAATCTTGCTGTTCTTCTCTTCTACTCTTATCTTGATTCGATCTTGCTCCCTTTCTCTGGCATGATTGCAACACGATGGACAGAATGTGTACAAACTGTACTTGCCATTGCTTAGATTGTTAGGTCAATTAATTTGTGTTAACTTGGTAATGGGCACTCTCGTTTTCATTCTGTCCGTGATACTTGATAGTAGTTGCTTGTGGGTCTCAGCAGAAAAAAACTATTGTTGTGGCTTTGGATGCAAGAGAAAATGACAAGATGAAAATTTCATCCTATGCAATGTTTGCACCATCTCAAAAGGAGGAGGAAAAAAACAAAAACTGTACTTTGCAGTTAGGAGAGAGTGGCTTTTGCTTGCACTTAAAAGCAACATGGGATTACAAGAAAGAATAATTTCTTAATGGACTTCCTCAAGCTAAGCCAGCTGCATGAATCCAAATTTGGTACTTTTTTTCGTATTTTATTTTTTTTCTCGTGCATGTGCTGCAATACTTTGGCTCTAAAATTAGGGGGAAATCTCACAAAGGGGGGTATTTGTGCATGGATAAAAAGTTTGGGGCTGTTCAGATTGATGCCATTTTCAACCATACCATTTTTTTTGTAAAGTTGCCAAAAAAATGCTTACGTTTTGTTTGTTACTAAATCCTGCCAAAATTGGTAATGCCAAAATTTGGTAAGATTTATTTTGGTAACAATCTAAACAAGTCCTTTATACCTTGCAGTTGTGCATGGTTTGGGCTGTCCGGCCCACTACTGAGCTGCATGCCTCATGATCAATCGCACCTGTATCCCAAGGCCCAATGCGGTCAATTAAACAAGAGGTTTTTCCTACATTACAGCGATTTTGCTATATATTTATCGATAAATTTTCTTCCTAAAATTTGACAAATGTAAATATACGATCATAGTGTAATTACATTATAACTTGTATGTAACTTTCACATAATTTTAAACCGTTATATTTGCTTTAAATCTTATATATGCAAGCGAGAAAGAAAAAAATCACAGCGTGCGCACATATGATAGGATTTGGTCCTCCACTTTACGAAAATAATATGTTAATGAGGTATTTTTAAAAGTTATATACGAGTTATATGCAAGTTACAATATAATTACAATTTTTTTAGGGAAATTTGTCGACAAATGTACGAGCAATCCCACATTACAATATTTGGGTTTAGTTTTTCTAATATGCAAGGACTTAGGACAGTTGAAGTTATTAAGCAAATTAATTTAATATAGTTTACCTTTCAAACTCTACAAGCAAACATTTTTTTCCGATTGCACGGATGATGCACAGATGCACACCTATGATGTTGCCCTCTTACTCTCGCAAGAAGGGGCCAGTGGCAAATCTATGACGGCTTGATTTAATTGGATTTTTGTTCCTTTATTGCTTCCCTGAGCCTTTTAAAAAATTACTATTTGAATGGAAATGTCTGTTATTATGAAGGACAATTACGTTCTTATCCATGTTACGTTCATTCACCAAGAGGGTCTCTTCAAGATTTTTGCTCATATCCATGATCCATCCACAGATTTTGAGCTTGTTTCTAAAAAGGGACATCGAGAGGAAATGGATTAAAATTTGGAAGTACATATACTGATATTTTATACCCACATATTGGTACAAATATACTCGAGAATGTTTGGAAAGGAACGAGAAAATCGTGAATTCAGAAAAGATTTCTGTTGTATTCTACTAGCTTCAGTTGAAGTTCGGAGACATTGGATGTAGTACAATTTGTGAAATACCATTAAAGATCCCGGTTGGTCAGGAGACATAATAATGGCCCAGTGACAAGAACAGCCGGATCATAACAAGAACTAAGCTTCTCCAGTACTGACATGTGACTGACTCGCTTTGCATATCTGTCGCCTCCGTTATTATCTCTAGCGGTATACTCGATTCATTTCAGGAACTTTGTGTGGGAAGCAGAAGGTGTGTTATCACTTACCTGGTATATATGTGTAAAATTAAGATTGGTTGTATTTCAGGGGGGGTATTTAGTTGTTCCACATTCTTTAAGTTGGTCATCACCATGCAATGAAATATAAGGAAAGTATATTACCTCTGTTGATCAAAATGATTGAGGCTAATTGAACCTCTCAAATTTCTATATACATATATTCTTGCATCCTATATCTATAATTTTGTACGGCACTAATGCAGTTTACCTTTTAGGCGTCCACATGTTCAGCTGTATATAGAAACTAGTAGAAAGCTTCTTGTCCTGTAAAAGCAGTCTCTGGATGTTGCAGAGTGTGTATGTTCACTTATGGAGTTCAGGAGAATTGTATGTTCCAGTTATTCCCCTTCTTGTAGATCCCGGATTACTGGCTACCTCGATGAATAGAAAGGCAAGAATGTTTACTAGTAACAATTTACCAGGTGGGAAGTCCATGACAGATATGTTGGGAACTTGCAAGTCTGGACCGGAAAATGTTGGCGTGAGCACCTTGTTGAGATGTCGGAAGCACTGGTAAACTGAAAGATTTTTCAGGAGTTTCCATGCAAGGCACAACATGAGAACACCACAACCTGGAATTCCAGGTTTCTGCATTGTTCAGGCACTGCCGTTTATCCTAGCATATGTCATCAGATTACCACTGGTTTGTTCTGACGCACCTCAACCACGGCAACAAACTGAAGGATATGGACGCAGTCTGCAACTTACACAGTAGAGTTCTCACTAACAGATGTAAATCGGACTGTTCAGACAAGCGGTCACACTGTTCATCGTACAGCAACAAAAACATGGTAACAAGGGATATTATTGAGATTAATTTTGCGCAGTCCTTAATCCTTAAGGCATAGTGGCACTTATAACTGCACCTGATCTGAATCGTTTACCTAGTATAGCCTACTACGGTGCTCCTCCCCTTAAAAAATAAGTTTATTTTTCATCTATTCCACACATACTACTTTCACAAACTTTAATATAATGATTACTAAAAGATAAGATTTATTTTAAACAAATAAGATGAAACAAAATGAACATGGGAGGGTACCAGATACCCTTGCTACTTGGAAATATATTGGCACAACGTTACTACCTATCCTTGTGTACAAATAGCGGTACATTTCGATCAGTGTGACGCTCAGTATCACTATTGAGATCATAATACATACTGATCAGTGTGTGAATTTCAGTTTAAGTATGTAGATTAGTACACGTCGAACACAGCGTGACGCTCAGTATCAGCAGAAAGATTAGTAGCTGGACAAACACATGTAATTAGACCAGAAGCTTATTAAGACCTTTCCATACTGAAGCAACAAAACCATCAAAACACCAGCACATCCTGCATCCAGCCGCTAAGAACACAGCGCAAGATATATTAACACAGATAATATCAAGCAAGTAACAGATGCAGCCAGTAATCTCACAAGAGCCAACATGAGACTCCGATATTAACCATTGACACGTGAAACACATTAAGGTTTGATAAATAAAAAGATCTCCAGCTGGAGTGTGACACCACATAGTCTCTGAGGACTGTCTGGGACTCTGGGTTTATTTATTGACCAACATTACAGATAAGAAAGCGCACAGCACAAACAAACTCGAAGCACTCATGACGCGAACTGGAAATACTCATGACGAACGAAATACTGAAAAGACGATAAGGCGAAGTAGGCGATGATTGGGAGGAGATTCGGCGCATCACTCTTCCTCAGATTCAGAATCCGCGCTCTGGAGCCACTCCACGAACGGCTTGGCATTCTTCACCACCTGGGACTCCTTGCCACCAGCAACAGATTCATTATACCACTGAGTTATCACTTCTTCATCCAGGACGTCCCCATCATACAGGGCCTTGAGAACAATCGGCACCTCCTTCACAGCTTCGGGGCTTGACTTGGCGCCGAAGGCCACCAGCGCTTGCAGCAGGACCATCTGGGAGGCTTCATCAGGCACAGCAGCAGCGAGGAATTTCTTCTTCTTCACAACCTCCTTGGCGAATCCTTTGCCGAGGCCGCCAAAGAGTGCATCAAAAAGAGCATTCATAGCATCCTGGGGTGGCAGCGCTGAGGAAGTCATCAGACCCTTGAGCTGAACAGCATTGGCACCCTTGCTCAAGTTATCCTTCATCTCCTTGACCAGATCATCATAAGGACTGCTTTTAGCCTCTTCAACCACATGTTTTGTACTTCCGTTGGAGGCACCCTCCTTGTGTGAGGCCTCATGCTTCTTCTTCTTCTCAGGTTCTTCAGTGGACAGCATTACCATCTCAGCAGTTGCAGCGCTCAGTTGTTCCTGCATGCGCTGTTTTGCAGCCTCCAACGAAGTGTCAGTCTGCCACTGGACATCATCATCATCATCCTCATCTGCAGCCACATTGTCACCATCATGGCTGCGAGTTGGTGAATTTGAATGATCCTCATCAGAGCCAGCAGCAGCCTTCTTCTTCCCAGCACCACTTTTAGAGGAGGTACTTTCCTTGGATGCACCTTTCTTCTTTGCTTCCTTCTTTAGCTTCTTCATCTCCTCATCAGCAGCCTCACCTTCCTTTAGACGCTCCTTCTCAGCTCTCCTCATTGCCTTCTTGTCTTTCCCAGCACCCTTCTTCTGTTCAGGTGGATTCTTCAGGATAAAAGTTGTGAGCTTGTCCCTCATGTCAACATCTGACACAAAACCACAGGCAGCACACTTCAGTGTAATCATCTGGGTCTTGGAGATTAGGACCTCAGTCTCAGGGTTGCCACATCCATAGCATTGGACATACTTCTTGATGAAGTTCTCAAGGAGACCAGCCAGCTTAGCAGTATCATGTGCCCCATTAACCAAGGAAATACCAGTCTTCTCATCAAATTTAGACTGTGCACCAAGCTCACATCCAAAGTACTTTGTTGTGTAGGAAGCAGGCCTGGCTAGGGCTTTTGCTATATCCACCATGTTCACAATGTTAGTCTTGATGCCATTGCCACGGCCTTCTATTTTGGTGATCATCCTGGGCATCTTATACCTGTAGAAGGCATCATCACGGTTTGAAGCACCAATGTTTTGCAGAGCCATCTTGGATTAATTTTCTTTCGCTGAGATAATATCAGAAGCACCAAGAGCCAAAAGGAACAGTAGTCTTGTATCCTTGAAATGAATCAGCAGAAACCAGTGCGCAGCAGGGCCTTCCAAGCGAGAGCTTGTGCCTTTTTCTCGTTGTCCGAGAATATTCTCCAAGCAATCCAACTGATCCCAAGTAAAGCAAGTCTTGTTCAGACATAAAAGAAGCTTCAACTTTTAGACCCTCCACTTTGTCAGATTGCAGCGAAACTGATGTTGCCTCCTGCATCACACGTCAACATCAGATTCTTCATTCAGACAGACACCATAGAAATGGAGTACTTATGTAGGAAATAATTCAAATGCAAGTAAAATATACAATATACAACATATCTGATGCATATATGATACCAAAGTTCAAACAAATACTATAAATCACTTAATCACATAAATATTCACTCCATCGACAAAGTAAACAATCTATCTATTTTTATTTTACTTGCATGATCCTGTATAAAATATTGGGATAGTGAACATTACGATGCCAGCAAAAGTTGAAAACCACAAAGCATACTGAAAGCTCTAATATATCAGACACACTGAACAAACAGTCCGTACCATTATACAACTGAAGCACGTATTACACATTTGTCGCATTCAGCATATACTGGATTAATGTGACATCTAGCTCAACTGCTTACTACTGTAATATCAAACCTTTCACCACTGAGAAACTCTATGGACCTAACAAATAGCATAACCGTATCCATCAAAAGTGTAACCATAGCTAAATAGACAAGGAGACTATCACTCAGGAAAAATAGAAAACAGAAGCTCGTAAGTGCGACATAACTATGAGTAAAGAAGTAACCATGCATAAGCAAATAAAACTGGGATTTTGCTGGCCAACATCAAAAGTGCACACTTGGCATAGTAAACAATGCCATAAATAAACTCAGCCTAGCAGATTGATGACATCATGGAATAAATGAATACAAAAGGAAGGATAGCAAATAAGGAACACGATAGCAATTGGCAAAAACAATTTCAGATGGCAAACCATTGCAGTAGTAACTGGGAAATGGTTGTATTAGCACGATGAAACGCAATGTACCAGTACAACTACTACAAGATTCATTTACACAATGATAGATCACTCTCTAAATACTGGACTGGCTAATTCAGCATACTATGAAATATAGGAGACACAAGTCTTTTGCAGAGTTCTACATTCGATGAACAGTCATAAGTTTCATAACAATCACAACAATAATTAATGATAGTAAAATCTAACCAATAGATGGTAACCAATGCAATCGCAACATGTTTAACACATCCTAGCAGCATGAAGTACAACAGTATTAACTGAAAAAACTACACGAGGCACAACAATCCAAGTTGGATGAACTGCAACAGCCTGAGCCTGAGTATATGAATCATCCACCCAACATCACATGACCGAGCTGACACACAGATAATAGACGCAAAATACACACACAAGCATTTGTGTTCCCCCAAACTCCCATTACTAGCAAATTAAAAATCAGTACTATCAAATGACTTTCCAAGCCTTAGAATCGTTCGATCCGACGAGATTTGACCATGAGAATTCCTAAAAGCAAGGGCGGATCCAACTTGGGACATGGGGGAACGAACAAACAAACTGCTATACAGGTTAAGGCTCTGAAATTAAGAGAAGAGCTTCTTCCAGATCTAGGGTTAACGAACGCAAGCAAATTCCAGACAAAAGTTAAGTCCCGGTGGGAGGGGGAGAGATGGATCAGGAGGAGGATGTGGGTGCTCACCAGGATCCCCTACCCTGCTCTGCTCGCCGGATGGAGATCGGCGCGCCCCTCCCCTGCTCAGCCGCGGCTCGTCTTGGGCGCAAGGAGCGGAGGAGACGACGAGATGGGGAAGATTTCTCTCTTTCTTTCACGCCGAGGGAATGTAGGAAGGGGAAGACACTCGACTGCTCCACTTTTTATCTTTCGACGGATTTTCTTCCTAGGGTTTCACATCATCCAGCCGTAGGATCAAAACGAACGAATGGACGGGATTTAATGGGCCATCCACAAGACATAAAATTCACTGGGCCAACACCAGGTCCACTTTTGCTCCCTTAACTAGTGGGTCCGATTCGTATCCATGAACCACATTACCACATATCTCGACCCCGAACTATTGAAATCGGTGTAATTTGATTTCCTCGGTAGTTTTGGTGAGTGTTTTGGCTAGCATGGAGATTGCATGGTGGTGTTGACTTGTTTTTTTTGTCCCACGTGGCGTTGATGTGGTGTTTAGGTGGTATTAGAATTAAAAAAATATATATGGGATCCATTTTTCATTCACACAAAGAAAAATTGTAGGACCCACTGATTATGTGGGGTCCACATGTTATCCCCTCTTCTTCCTCTTCTTCCTCTTCTCTCTCTTTCTCTTTCTCTTCGTATACTTATTGATAGGCTATTATTTCATTTTCAATTGCAGGAGACAGGGATTTGCTCTACTAATTGAGTTCATATGATATTTCAGGAACTACGGTATTACAAGGATCTTATTCTTATGGTGGACAAATGCTATATGATGAATATTGTCGATGTTTTAGATCATAACTACGGTATTTACATGGTATAGGATCGTTGGTACCGGAGTACGTGCGATATAGAGGTAAAATAGACAGGGACAAGGATTTTTATACATATTCGGGGCCCTTAACTGGCAGTTAAAAGCCCTACTCCTACTGGTCGAAGCCGGTGTTGCTCTTATTCATTAGAATCACACAGGTACAATATTTGGGATAACCTATCTAGTCGTCGTCGACTTGACGACATGGAACACTAACACGTAGTCAACGACGGGGTAGTCTTCCTCCTTGAATACGTACTCGGCGAAATCAGAGATAACGCTAGATCCCTCGTCGGCCTCTGTAGGCGCCTGATTGGGTATGTCTAGGCTAATCTCTCATGTCGATATCTGGCAACACGTATTGGTGTCTATTCTGACTGAGCGTGTTGGTCTGTGCTGGCTTATCTCCCTCCCCCTCCTCCTAGGGGGTCTTGTATAAATGTTTCCTTGTCCAAGTAGAATTAGAAAGACAAATATAGATATGATCCGAATAGTACTTATAGTTTTCATGTAGAACTCTACTTGTCCTTCTCTATCTGGAACTCCTTCTATATACGAGATATGATTCCGTATAAGACTTGTATATTGTAGGCCCCGCCAAACTTAGTCGACTATTATTGGGTATGTGTTATCCATAACCCTGACAAATATGGCTTACTAAATTCGGACGTAAGGCTTGTAAAGAAAAAAAAAACTTATTCGCTAGTGTAACTAAATTCAAAAATATGTACTACTAATATGAACATTTCCGGGGGCAGGGAGGGGGGGGGGGGACTCAGCTACACAAATATGATGCAACATGTAGGCCAAACTCGTTGCATTGGATTGCAAGGCAATAATGTATGTATTATTATGCAAAAAATATTAAAAGAATAATCAGAAAATAGTTTAAAAACTTTCTACCAATGCATGGAGGACTACAAGAATTCAGAAACCTACTTCAAACACCACTAGGATTTCAGGTAATACATGCAATTACTTGAATATAAAAAAGATAAAAGAATACAGTACTAACGTATTTTATATCATTTTCTCTTGTAGAATTTTATGATTTTGACAACAAGTAGATTTTCCCTAGAAGCAACAACTCAACATATGCAATCAGCAGAACTCAACATTTTCCCTAGATGATCAATTATTATTCCACTGGAAAAAAATATCATTTATATTCAAAATGACATGAGCTGAATAAATTAGTGTCATGTATAAACTCATCAATCGTGCTTACTCACACTGCCGCAAGCAATCCTGGCCGTTGATTACAATCCAACGACACAGGCTAATAGGCCTACGCGCACGTTCGCTCGTGTCTAGGCCATCGCGCTCGCCCGTGGCCTACTCGACTGCCTGCACGCGTTACGGGCCACACGTGCCTCCGTGCGCGATGAAGGGCGTCCTCGCTTAACGAGCCGCGCCGACCAAGCCTCGTGAATTATCATACTGGCGTACACTGTTTTGGGCCACCGCCAGGTTTCGGGCCTTATTCATTTCCCTTTATTGCCAAAAATACCATTTATTATTTACAGAATTAATTTTTAATCACTTTGAGCTATTATTTTAAGATAAAATTGCAGTAACTTTTGTATTTGCGAGATATGTACAAATTCGAGATTTTGTGAACATGTGTTATAACTTATAAGTACACATGCAATCTTAACCATCTGTATTTGTTTTATATTCACCGGTTACAACGCATAGGCATATTTGCTAGTTATCTAAAAGTTAAACAAGTCCATGATGAGTTAATAACAGATGGCAGTGATATCATTGATCAATGTTAAAGCTAATTGAGCATGGCCATATACTACAAAACATTCCTCAAAATAAACTACATAATATAAGAGGGTGGATAAAAATACATCTCTGGGAATCATGTATACAATTGGCAAAGATAATACTCAATTAAGGCCGGACATAAGGCATGACCATAGTAGGTAATATTTCCATTAAAAACGGCACCTGAAGGCTGAAAATCTGAATGTCAGATAACCCCTGAGCATAACACACACCAACAAGCAAACAAATGTGTGATTGATTCAGAACAGAAATAAGGAAAAGGAGCCCTCACAACACATCGCCAGACCACATACTCTCATGGTTTATGTGCCAAAGAAACAGTTTGCGGCTCAGAATTAATTTACTAGAACAGTAACAGCATACATTAGAGACAAATTAACATAACTGCAGCAATCTTTACTGTGATTACTTTTACATTACGCTGTAACAGAAATTAAATCAAACCCCAGAACTGAAACCTGCAGTCTCAGCCAGATACCAACTTCACAACAATGATAAGAACATTAAGCGCTATCAACGGCATCCTCAAGAACTGTGTGGCATAGATGAGCCCTACAATCTGACCCTTCAGTGACTTGGTTTGTCCATTTCCTGAGACTTCAGACATGCTCCATCCTCTGGGGCCAAGAAAGCGGTCTTCATTTAGTATCGCTAATGCATTTGCGAGAAGCAAAAAGCCCTCCAGCAACGTCCACAGGCCCATTCCTGCAGGTAGTAGGTATTTTAGTTCAAATAAATATATACCAGTACAACTACCTGCCAAAACTATCATATCAAACAAAATATTCTCCATAAGCAACAGCAACATCATCCTGAAATGTTAACATACAGGGTGTGTTTAGTTCACGCTAAAATTGGAAGTTTGATTGAAATTGGAACGATGTGACGGAAAAGTTAGAAGTTTGTGTGTGTAGGAAAGTTTTGATGTGATGGAAAAGTTGGAAGATTGAAGAAAAAGTTGGGAACTAAACCAGGCCACAGTATGGTTTTCAATAGCACAATACGAGCAATTAAATCTATAAGCATACATGTAGAATTTCCATGAAAATCATAAGGTTTGCACTGATAAAAAAAAGAAATGTGATACTGTGATAAAAGATCGGACATGAGTAGATCATTTGATCACGATGCAGGCATAGTGACCAGTGCCATGAATTCACCCAGCTATATGACATCTGGAACGAATAGTAGCATACATGCAAGGGATTAGCTATGGTCCCTACCTGCTCAACCAAACAGATCAAGTCATACACCCACCCAGCGCTCTCAGACACACCAGAAGAAACCACACTAAAAGTGGGATCTGGATCAATTTGCGCAAGGAAAGCCTTCTACAGGACAGGCATGTACCTAGCAGGTAGGGGAGGAGAACTGATAAGTAGTACCTCGTGGCAGGGATGACCGCTGGATCTAGCCAGCCAGGTGAGAGCAGGCTGGGAAACTCCCAGGCCGCTGCACAGGGACGTCTAAGCAGGGAGAGGCTCTCAGCTTCTTCTCCTTCCTCACCTTGGCTGCCTGCCTGGTTCCTGGTCGATCGTGCTTTGCTTCCCCCTCAACCTCAAGCACCGATCCAATATATTACCAGGCTGGGTTGCCTCCTGGATTGGATAGATTAGGCCAGTAGATTAGTGCCTTTGTGGGCTCTTTGTATTTGGTACGTGTCACTGTAATAACAAAATGCTGGATTAGCATGAAGAAACACAATGTACCAGTAAAATTAGAAGGAGATTGTACAAGGCTAGGCTATTGTCTAAATACTGAAAATGGAAGTAGTCTTTGAAAGCCAGGTAAATTTGCCAGGCTTTCTTTGAAAGCCAGGTCTATATATGATCTGATTTCCAAAAAAAAAAAAAAAAAGCCGGCATCGGGCACCCGCACAGAGGCAGCCCGTGCGCGGCAAGGCAGCGATTGGCGTCGTCGTCAGAGCTCTTATCCAAACAAACAAAGAAACCATCACAGTATGGGAGGGGATTAGCCCAATCCCGTCTCCGTCGATCTCCGCAGGAAAATAATCGGAGCTGGATGAACTGCAACACAGCAACAGCCTGAGTATATGAATCATCCACCCAACATCATATGACCGACCTGGCACATAGAAAATAGACGCAAAATACTCACCCCAAGCATTTGTGTTCCCCCAAACTCCATTACTAGCAAATTAATAATTAGGACTATCAACGACTCTCCAAGCCTTAGACTCGTTCGATCCGACGAGATTTAACCATGAGAAATCCTAAAAGCAGGGGCGGATCCAACATGGGACATGGGGCGTTCAGTTCAGTTGAACCCCCAAACTTTTTGGGGAACAAACAAACAAACTGTTATACAGGTTAAGGCTCTGAAATTAAAAGAAGAGCTTCTTCCAGATCTAGAAGAGAAGCTAGGGTTAACGAACGCAAGCAAATTCCAGACAAAAGTACTCCCGGTGGGAGAGAGAGATGAATCAGGAGGAGGATGTGGATGCTCACCAGGATCCCCTGCTCTGCTCTGCTCGCCGGATGGAGATCGGCGCCTCCTCCCCTGTTCAGCCGCGGCTCGTCAGGAGACCACGGGACGGGAGATTTCTCGTTCTTTTGCGCCGAAGGGAAGGAGGGGAAGATACTCGAGTAAACTGAGGTTTTTTCTTAGGGCTCACACGATTTTTCGGCCATTGGATCAAAATAAACGAATGGACAGGATTGATACACTAAAATGTACATGCAAATCAAACTTCTGCATATAAATGGGCCATCTGCAAGACATAAAATTCACTGGGCCAACACCAAAAGTAACTTATTTAACAAGCCCAAACTTGCCATATTAATGCGAACTAAAGCCCAAAGCTGTAATAAAAGAATAAGTTTATTTGACTCCCTTTACTAGTGACCAATAGATTCATATCTCTAAACCACAATATTTAGACCTCCCAACCGTAAAATTTAACTCCCTCAGTAGTTTTGGAGGAATGCATTGTATCTAGTTTTATGGTTTAACGGTTTAGGTATGCAATTCAAATTGGATGTCAAAATGAAGGACCTAAAGTGAACTTATTCCCCGGAGACGACGATGATGTCCACCACGAGATGGAGCCCAAATTTTTCCCAAGAAAACGGCACGAGAAACCAGGGGAATTTATATCCTCTGTGATGCAGCAATTAATGCCGCTCTAGCAACCTACCCCTATCAACACAAACACAAATTTCTCAGCTTCTCGATGCAGCGCTAGATTACTATATTTTGATACGGACAAACTAATATTCATGCAGTCGGTGGCATATTACCATCAGGATATCCCCAGCTGTATATCTGTACTCAGTGCACAACATCACATAAAGTACAGCGTTTCTGCTGCTAGAGTGCGAGCCACTGTAACAAATGACCCAAACAAAAAACGATCAATTCAAAAAAAAAAAGGAAACATCAGACAACCGAGTAGTAGGGCTGCATATACATGGACGTGGCAACAAACTCTTGGGTCATTTTCATTCTGGTATAGTCAAAAACATTTTCGGCCATGCCATTACACCCACAGATTCTATTCCTAATTCTTACAAAGTTCTCCTGTCATATTGGCCCCATTATACCTGAACTCTTTGTTACAACTCAGTCCTCACCGTATCAAGTATGCATTGTCTTCATCGTGCTATTTGTTCATTGCTTTGTGTGACAATTAGATATTGATCCAAGCCTCTTCCTAATACTCCAGGCCCTTCCTGCATTTTGCGTGTGCCATATCTATCCCTTAATCTTCATGATACTCTGGGTTATTTCTTAGGATCACAAAACCCTCAAGAACTGGTGTCAGTGGAAGATATCTGCATATAGAAAGAACATAAGCATAAGCAAAGATCAACTGACAAATTTGAAAATTGTTCTCCAGATGTTTTAGTTTACTTTTCAGTTGCCAGCTCTGCTCGTTCCCCTGCGGCAAGTAATACAGGCGTTGAATGCGTCTGGAATCCAGTAATTGTCTTGGGTCGACCCGCCTGACCGACGACGTCAACTGCTTGACCAACACAAACCGGAACAGAGAGGGGCTTGAGATCCTCATCCACAGTCAATAGCATCCGAGGCTGTTTCAGTAGAGAAAAAACTGAGAATCCATGTGACTGGTTTAGCTAATATGTCCACTACCAAGATCTTTGAACGAGATATATACCTGCATAGCTAGGGCAAGGATATAAAGCATGTAATGGTACTTCCCCAGAATGATGGATTTCATGTCAAGGCAGGCATGCAGAACCGTCACAAGACCAGCAAGTGCTATGCTGAAAAGTGAAGAATGGACTCTCTTAGAAAATGTGGTTCCAATAAGATTGAAGGAGATTCAACAACTTTGCAAGTTACTCACGGGGACAGAAGGAACCGGTCAGAGTGATATGGCGAAAGGGTCAGCAAACCCTTCCCAAGGTGAACAAGACCTTGAGCAATCCTCACCTGAAAGTCAAATGAAAAAAACTGATATGAAACTTGAATACAACAGCATGAGATCAGAATAATTGGCAAAACAAAGATAAAAAATGTTTATTTTAGATTTGAACTTACACAAAACAGATGTCCTGCTTCTTTGTAATAATAACTTGAGAGGTTCCGAAGCATCCCAGCTATTCGGGCATTGTTTGTACCAGCCCCTATCAAGCCCAGGGAGATTATTGCAGCCTGCATGTACCAATTTGATTGAATAAATATCAATGCTCATAGAACTTAATATGGTAGGTTTTGTTAGTGAGGTTACTAACCATAGAAACTTCCGCATCTGCATCATGGCTCAGTCTGCTCATTGTGTCCATAACATTTACCTAATTGACAGGCAAGTGGTAGAAATGTAGACATCAGAAAACTATATGAGATATTTATCTAGCCAAATGATACAATCTACTAATTTTAACTAGAAATATGCTACTTTTCCTCGAATAACCAGGATCAAATAGTAGTCGTGTGACAAAGCACATTCTCAAGAGTAGTGAATTGAAATTGATGATGTAGCAGAGTGCAAAACTAACTGTCATGGCATGGTATCGAATAATTCTTTATCAGCAATTCTATATATTGAATGATTGTGTGCAACGGCACAAAGATAACAAACATTTGACGTTACTACAAAAATAACAAATCATGTACCATACCTTTGGATTGGATATGCAAAGCAAGCCCAGAGCTAGAGGAACCGCCCTTCTAATATTCTGCTCGCCATACTGTAAAAGACGTTCAAGGGAACGTACAGCCATTTCCGCCCCTAATTCTTCAGCCATGGAAATTAGGGAGATTCCAAGAACTGCTGGTCCTTGGTGGGTTTCACCTTTCTCAAGATGCTCGGAACAGATTCCAAGGAGTTTTTGAACCTGCAAATCAAACGGAAAGATTCGTCAAAAACAAATAGGCACTAAAAAATATTGTAATCCTATAATCCATGCACAATTCTTCTGTTGATTGGGAATCACCTTAAGCACGTTCCCTGTCCCAGCATATGCCAGCGACATCAGTGTCACGTCACAATAATTCCTTATCTTCTCATCAAAGGTTTTAGAAACCTCAGCGGTCGCCTCCACACTTTCCTGAGAACAGTACTCAAGAATGAGTATAATAGTATATAAACAGAAAAATGGCTAAAAACAGACGGTGTAGGTTGCATGTTACATTTGCAAGACAGCTGACAGTGCTTAATCCAGAGAATATAGCAATTACCGAAAGAGTAAAATTGTACTTTGGATGCATGAACCTACATGGTAGGTGCAATTCAGCACAACTAAAAAACATTTGAGCCAGTTCAACTACTTGCATGGTGCGTGCGAACAAGGCCAAAATAGTCCATGTTAGCGAATCGGAGCGTTATGCTGCTGAATGCATGCATGAATCTTGTGATCCAGAAAAGATAGGGATAGTTCTCCTATGCCTTTTGGAAATTATCTTGCTAGGGAAATCTGCAGAAGATTGATAGCGGTGCCTGACATTCCTGATAATGATGGTAGAATGAGTCACCATACATATGAGGTTGTGTGCCTTGTCTTTGGATAATCGTTATCTCATCCTTGAGCTGTCATCATTGCGGACATCCCGTGCCTCCACCCAGAAAAAACGAAATTCCAGTTTCTTTATCCTGATTGATCTCCCTCACTGCACAAATCTTTCATCTCACAACTCGGTGCCCTGGTTGCACTATTTGTGCCACACTGCATGAGTGGGCCCCATGCGTCATGTAAAAAATATTCAAAGAGAAGGTAGCCTCTAGCAGGAAAGAAGCAAGTTCCGGGAGGGCATGTTACTGTTCACTCACATGCCTTATACGCATTTACATGCTTGCTGGTATGGCATCCTAGTCAGCACTCAAATGATTTGATTAACCAAAATGTGGACTATTCTCACCCTTGGTTCACACACACACAAGTCATTGCACTGATTTGAGCATTTTACAACTCATTGTACTAAACTGCACCCATCTTACAAGTTTGTGGACCGCGAGCAGTTAAGATCAACGATTATAATAGACAAAATGCACAAGGATAAGCATACATAAAACTGGTAACTATTATCGCTTAATAGCATCAAAAGATTATCAAACTCATTATGGGAAAACAAAGGAATCAACAAGAGACTGGTTGTGAGACATAATCATGAAACAATGTACAGAGCAGTACAAAGGCAGTATTGTATAGTTAATGTGTTCATATGTACTATATGGTCCTTGACCTCAATAAAAACATAAATGTAGAATTTGGGAGTATGAATAAGTATACAGTCAAATTACCTGCTTTCCAAGATATAGAAGGCCAAGGGCAACAGGAAGCAAGCGTATAATTGGCTCTGCAAGCTCTGGCTCACTATGCTCCATTAAGACACATATGATTGTCTGTGCAATCTCTTCATTACAAGAACCAACGAACACCAAACCTAAGGAGATGGCAGCGAAGACTAAGACCTCCAGAGGTACTTGGGAGTCACTCAGAAAAGCTGTAAGATTCTCTCTAACCTGAAATGTTTGGAAACCATGTTAACACAAAATAACACATGGTTAATAGTTTTTAACCAGTGGGATAGCAAGGCCAAGAGCAAGGATTTTGACCTCCTCTTTCTGGGAGCCAGCATAAGCAATACCAAGACCAAGGATTGCTCCAATTCGTATAATTGACTCATCCCTGCTGAAATACTCAGAAATAAGAGCAAATGCCTGGAAAAGATGTCACAACATCAGTACAGAGTCTTGCGCATTAGAAGTTTTAGAAGATGTACAGAGACTTGCGCATTAGAAGTTTTAGAATATGGACATACCGGATCGCAGTCACTCTTCACACCACAAGAAACAATTCCAATACCTAGCAAAGCCCCAGCAACAACATGAATATCATTACTGTGCAGGTACTTATCAAGTTGGGCAAGTCCTGAATCAGAATCCCACAGAAGAATCATTCCCTGAAAAAGATTGTTTTATCATCACTATGATCACCTAATAACCTAAATGCCATGTATAAGGAAATAAACCAAGCTGTTGCATTGCATTACCAGACTAGCGGCTGCACTAGCTTTCCCATGTTCCTTGTTCTTGAATAACCAGTTTCCAGAAGAACCACTGCCCGAAGAATCTGATGGTGCGGTCATGAGTTTATCCTGCAACAAGAACATTGAGAACTTTGCTTGCCCTGGAAACCTTTG